CAAAGCTCCTATCCAGAGCCAGTTGCCAATTATTGGATCGGGACCAGCAGCAAAAGCTCCAAATCCCGCAGTTAGCAAAGTTGCCACTTCTCCCAAATCTGCATCAAAACGGGAGCCCCCAAATGCATCTGGAGCTCTCACTTATGTCAGGAAAGTTGTTGGTAATGGAAATTCCTCTCAGAACATCGATAAATCCTATTCAGCAGGATTACAAGAGGGAAGTCTATGTGTGGATCTCAGGGCGAATCTCTTCTCCTCCCCTGCTCACTCTGCACAACTTTCTGACAATGAGTCTGATACAAATAGTTTGTCAGGAGACGATGAAAATCCTGGTGAAGCTGGAGACAGGTTTATTCAGGTTGTCTCTAAGAGGTTGGGAAAGCAATCAAAAAGTCGAGCTAGGGCTAGAGGCCCTTCAATCCTCTAATCGTTCCTTTGTTATGGTTTTTTTTTGTTAGAATATAAGAGGATTTAATAATAAAATAAAACGTATTGGCTTTAGAAAGTGGATGAGGACTAACCAACCTCTTTTTGGGGGTCTTATTGAGACCAATGTCAGCTCTGCAAAGGCTCCGTCGAAAATCAAGCGGGCGTTTCCAGGTTGGCAGTATGTATGTAATTATGAATTTTTGGATTTGGGGAAGATTTGGCTGCTTTAGCACCCGTCGGTTATTGTTTCTGTAGTACAAAAGTCTGTACAACTAGTTACCTGTCTTGTGAAGCTTCCTTTTGTTGCAGAGGAGATAGCAGTGTCTATGGTCTATGCCTCAAACTGCAAGGAGGCAAGGAAAGATCTATGGACTGAGCTTGTCTCGCTTGCCTCCTCATCTCAACTTGTAGGGTTACCATGGTCAGTTCTAGGCGATTTCAATCAAATTCTGTGGCCTTCGGATCACTCTTCAGCTGACAGGTTTTCGTCAACCTCTGGTATGAGGGACTTCCAAGATTGTCTCAAAACTTCAAAGTTATTTGATCTGCCGTTCATGGGAAGCCCTTTCACTTGGACAAACAAGCATGACACAGGGCTTGTGGCTAAGAAATTGGATCGAATCTTAATAAATGATGACTGGCTCCAACATTTTCCCAACTCGGTAGGCGGTTTTGATGAACCGGGTATCTCTGATCACAGTCCTTGTTGTGTTTTTTTGGACTCCATGAAGCCTAAGCAGAAGCGCCCTTTTAAGTACTTCACTCTGCTCAACAATCACCCGGACTTCGCTGAACTCATTAAATCCTGTTGGAGCTCTCTTGACTTTGCAGGAACCAAGATGTTACGTGTCTCCAAAAGGCTAAAGGAGTTAAAAAGTGTCATCAGGAATTTCAGCCGAGAACACTATTCAGAAATTGAAAAAAGAGTGAAACAATCGTACTCTGACCTGTTTCTATGCCAACAAACGCTATTAAACTCCCCATCGGATGAAGCAGCTCAGAATGAAAAAGAAGCGCATAAGACTTGGTATACACTCGCTCTCGCCGAGGAATCATTTCTGAGGCAACGATCGAGAATCAAATGGCTTGAGGAAGGAGACTCGAATACGGCTTTCTTCCATAGGTCAATTATTACGAGGCAAGCTATAAACCAAATCCACTTCCTCCTCGATGATGATGATGTGGTCTTGGATACCAAGGATCGAATAAGGGATCATGTTGTGGGTTTCTACGAGAATCTTCTTGGGAGTGCACCATCTGCAACAACCTCCTCCCCAAGGGAAATAGCCGATCTGGTCCCTTTCCGATGCAATGCCTCTGCTCTCGAGATATTATCTGCTCCGTTTGGTCCCGAAGAAATCCAGAAAGCTTTCTTCTTTCTACCTAAGAACAAGGCTCCCGGCCCTGATGGTTATCCTACTGAATTCTTTAAACACCATTGGAACGCTGTGGGAAAAGATATGATAGAAGCTGTCTCAGAATTCTTCACCTCGGGTCGGATGCTGAAACAGTGAAATTCAACAATTCTGACTCTAATCCCTAAAAAACAAAACGCTTCAAGGATTACAGACTTCAGGCCGATCTCTTGCTGTAATACAGTCAAAGTGGTATCCAAGCTCCTTGCGAATCGCTTAAAAAGGGTGCTCCCTCTAATCATCTCCAACACTCAATCGGCTTTTATTCCAAAGAGACTATTGGTTGAAAATGTCCTGCTAGCAACTGAACTAGCCCAAGGCTATAACTGGAAGGCTATATCAAAAAGAGCATTGCTCAAGGTGGACCTGAAAAAGGCGTTTGATTCTGTGAATTGGGACTTCATTATTAACACTTTGGAGGCTCTTAACTTCCCAGCTCAATTTATCTCCCTCATCAGCCAATGTATAACAACTACCAGGTTCTCGGTCTCCATAAATGGAGAACTTTGTGGTTTCTTCAAAGGATCAAAGGGATTACGGCAGGGAGACCCTCTCTCTCCGTATCTCTTTGTGCTGGCAATGGAGGTGTTTTCACAGATGCTCAACCGTGGGTTTAATAACGGGACGATTGGCTATCACCCAAAGGCTTCAGACCCTCAAGTAACTCACTTGGCCTTTGCAGATGATATAATGGTGTTCTTCGATGGTGAAAAGACATCTTTAGAAGGCATTTTTGATACGCTACAGGATTTCGCGTCATGGTCAGGACTTTCAATGAACCGGAACAAAACGGAATTATTTACAGCGGGATTGAACCAAGCCGAAACCAATAGCATCTCTGACCTCGGCTTCTCGGCTGGCTCAATGCCTATCAGGTACCTCGGTCTTCCGCTCATGCACTGCAAATTACGGCTATCCGACTACAGACATTTACTGGATCAGATCACAAGCCGATTCACTACTTGGTCAGCGCGTGCTTTGTCTTATGCAGGACGCAAACAGCTTATATCCTCTGTAATATACAGCACAGTAAACTTCTTGACTTCAGCTTTTATTCTCCTAAAAGGGTGTTTAAAGAAGATTGAAAGTCTGTGTTCAAGGTTCTTGTGGAACGGCGACAACACAAAGAAGGCTGTAGCTAAAATATCATGGGTAAAGGTGTGTCTACCTACTGCTGAGGGAGGCCTTGGCCTGCGAAATCTTGATATCTGGAATAAAACTGTAGCATTGAAACTGATCTGGTTATTATTCACAAATACCACTTCTCTTTGGGCGCATTGGGTAAAGGTGCACAGGCTAAAGAATGATTGTTTCTGGAGTATTGATGAGAAGAAACAGACATCATGGACATGGAAATCTCTTTTTCTCCTTCGGCCTTTAGCTTTGCGTTTCCTAAGAGCAATTATGGGCAACAGTATGAATTTGAGCTTCTGGTTTGATCATTGGACTCCTTTTGGGCCTCTAATTAATTTCCTAGGACAGACGGGTCCCAGACAAACTGGAATTCCGCTTGATGCAACAGTAGCTTCTGCTTCCTCTGCAACTGGCTGGTGAGTTAGACCCGCTCGCTCTGAAGAAGCTATGGAGCTCTACACCCATCTGACCTCGGTAAGCCTTCCACATAACTCCACCTCGCAGGACTCTTATGTGTGGTTGGTTAACGGGGCCGAGCTAAAGGCTTTCTCCACAAAACTCACATGGAAATTGCTACTTTCGGCCGACACTCACCAACCCTGGACGGAAAATGTTTAGTACAAAGGAGCTATTCCGCGTCATGCTTTCACGATGTGGTTAGCTCACTTGGATAAACTCCCAACCTGTGATCGTCTCTCATCGTGGGGAATGCAGATTGACAACAAGTGCTGCTTATGCAACACTTACCATGAAACTCGTGATCATCTTTTCCTCCGATGTACCGTAAGTCAAGAGGTCTGGACAATGGTGCTTCGAAGATTGGGATACGCTCAACTCTCCTTTCTCACATGGACAGCTTTTAGTACCTGGCTCGGTCTACAGGACAATACATGCCCAACACATTTGCGGTGGCTAGTGTCTCAAACCACAATCTACCTTCTTTGGAGAGAACGGAATAACAGGCTCCACAACGGCATCGTCTCAACTGCCCAAGCTTTATTCACGACAATCGACCGGGTGACAAGAGACAGAATTCTCGGAAAACAAAACCACAACCGATTTGGTGACTTAATGCAAATCTGGCTCGCTTTTGCGTAAACCTTCTCCAAATACGTTAACGATAGGCACTTCCTTGTTTTTAATTTATTTTTAGCAAGGATCTGTCGGCTGGTTTTAATTTTCTGTAATTTATACAGACATACCCATTTTAGAAATGAAATTCAAATACTTATCAAAAAAAAAAAACCAGAGAGAAATCTAGTGAGGGAACCAGCGGCAGAGAACAAGACTTTGGCGGTGGATGCAGCGGATGCCCTGGTTGTAGCCGTTGCGGTTGCCCAGGATGCAGCGGTGGCTGCAAGTTCTGCTTCGGCTGTGATGGCTGCAAGTATGAAAATAAGTAATTTTTTTTCCTTTTCGAGTTTTTATTACGTGTGCTCTCTCAGTCATGACCATGTTTAATCTAAGGTTAATTTGCGTTATAGTATTATTTATTTTTATACTAATATTATGTGGAATTCACTTAAAATCAAGATATGGCTTTTTAAAATTCTCCTTCTCGTTCAAACGGTTTCTTTTCTCGGTTTAATTAGTAATACCGATGTCAATTAATATTATGTCAAGAAGAAAAAACTTGAAAACAATACGTAAGTCAAAATTTGGGGCAGCACAAAAGGATATTTGGATTTGAAAAATTAACGAAAGAAAAAGCTTAAAATGGGCCATAGTAAATTAGCCAATTAGCCAGGCCCAATAAGAATAGGTGTAAAGTGTACGCGTGCAATTAAATGTTGTCGTTGGGAAGTGCGGAAAAGGGAAGTAAAGGAAAAACTCTATTTTCTGGTATTTTTCGATAGGGAAGGTTTCCATTTCTGGGATTTCGCATCTCGAGTTAATTTAGAGAAATGTAATAAAATCAATTTATGGAAACTTCCCAACGCCGAAGCTGTTGTTGTTTTGGTCTTTCTATGAGAGAGAAGAGCAATTAGGGTTCTCTGGATTCTCGAAACAAGCAAGACAACAATGGCTCTGTTTTTCAACCGAATCTCGAAGCTCTCTGTGAGATTCTCCTCCTCTCGTATCACACACAATGTCTTTGATTCTCAAAGCTGTGGTTTATGCACTAATGATTTGAAGTCACGCAGGGACAATGCTCGTTTCTTCTCATCTTTGCCTCAGTCCCCGTATCTGCTTCTAGGCGGTAAGCTGCTGCGAGAGTCTCCGGAGGGCAAAATCGGAAAGCACAGATATTTCGACCCGACAACAGAAAAGAGAGTGTATAACAGCGAGAAGACGGTTCCCAAGGAGCTCAATGGTCAATCTCTTCTGGGAACATCACAAGGCTGGGTCGCTTGTCTGGAGAAGAAAGACTTTACCGTGCATCTCACGGATCTTTACAAGACATGGGTCTCATCCCCAAGAATCATACCACTGCCTTCAATCGGGTTTAAACCCTCGACGCACGCCACTGAGATATCTCTCTCTTCTTCTGATCCTGTCCAAGACGACTTCTCTGTGGCTGCAAAGTTCAGTGAGTATCAGCTAAGCGTGTGCAGGCCTCGTTGGGACTCTAAGTGGACCCACATCGACACACCTTACTCTCTTTTACCAGCCTCTGATCTAATCTATTCCAAGAGAGACGAATCCTTCTACTTCACCAGTTACAAGGGTCTCTACATGGGTTCTTTGGATCTCAGCGAAAACGAGCTCAAGTTTCAAGAACTACGCCTACGGAACCAGCCTAAGATCCCAGAGGCGAGCTGGGAGTTGCTGGACAAATGTTTCATGAGCAATCACTTAGTGGAATCTCCCTCTGGTGAACTTTTCTTCATCAAATGGTTAGTATTTTCGAACTTGTTGAAGAGTTTAGCTATACTTTTAATCAATCCATTTGGAGTAGAGACTGAGCTGGACTGTTTCTATGTAGGTACACACTTTGCATTCGCAGAGAGGAGGAGGAGTACATTTTTACGCACGGCATAACTAAGCGTTTTATGGTGTTTAGGGAAGATGAGAAGAGCAAAGACTTTTGCTACACTGAAGATATTGGAGATCTCTGCATCTTCCTTGGCAAGAGTGAAGCCTTATGTGTCTCGGCAAGCATGTACCCAGGACTCAAGCCTAACTCTATCTATTACATTGGCCCCGGACTTGGTTCTTACGATCTAGCTTCTGGTACGGTCCGTTCTTTCGATACCGCACGTGGCAAACCCTCGCTGGTCCCTTACCCATACTGGCTTAATCCCATTGCTTAACATTGCTCCTTTCAGTCTCTTCTTGGAGCTCTAGCTTGGATTTGGGTTTATTGAGTTCAATAAGTGGTCGTCTTGCCACTTTTGTGTTGTGTATTGTGTTTTTTCACAAAGTGGTCTTTAGGTTTTGGTGTCTTGTGTTGGTTAAGTTTGTGTGATTGAGATTTAAATTGTATAATTATATATGAACGTTCTATGGTGTTCTGTGTTATTGTACGATGAAATCAGTTAAAATCTCTTATATATTAACGTTTTTATATACCAATACTTTTAATTCATAGCAACACATTCACTAGCCAACCCCAGACGAAATCTTTTTGCATCATTGCAATAATCATAGATCATGAAGTTTCGTTGGACCCACTTAAGCCTCTTCAAGCTATTTTCATCGATCCCTTCCTTGAGCCATGAGCTCGAACCATCACCACCGCAAGATGCATTTGAGCCACGGGCCGACCAAACACAGTCTTGAACCTCATAGTTCCTGCAATAAGCCGTGAACGGCGCTTTGGACCAGTCAATCTTCACGATCCCTCCTCTCGTAGCCCAATCGTCTCCATTCCATAAGCTGGAATGGACTCTCATTGCTTGTTTCTCCGGATAAGTTACGTTCATCGTCTTCATGTTCTTGAATTCTCTTATCGGTGTACCATCCACGTAGAATCTGTCAAAGATCCGACTCTTAAATATTGCTATATATATTGTTTGGTATGGCTAGGAGATTAATTGACATTAGATATTTAAATTTTACACTATGGTTTTAGGATTCCAGAGGATGGAGTAAGTGTGAAAATCAATGGTGGGATCGAACCAGAGACGAAACTGTTGCTCTCTATCACCTTTGCCTTGTGTGATCACATTTGTGTGGACTGTGTAAGGATCACCACTCAGATTCCCCAAGAATTCGAAGTCTATCTCATCCCACATCGTTCCTTTAGACGCTATCTACACAACACACACACACATGACTAAAAAGTTCCAAATATCTTACTCAAAATGAAAGAGATTAGTTTTAAAGATTCATACATAGTAAGATGTGACAGTACCGGCAGAGTTTCCATGGACAAGCTTTAGCTCCATAGAGATCTTACCGAACAAGAACTGAGCTTTGGACTGAAAACCAGAGCCTGAAACTTTGTCAAGAGACAATGTAATGACTTGGCCGTTTTCGAGTATCTTTGCTTTGTCACTTCCCCATATAATGTCAACATCTTGTCTGAAATCACCTGCCAAGACTAACGAAGAACATGACAGAATAGACACAAAGATCAAGATTTGTGAACAATCCATATGTCCTTTTTTGGGAACTTTAATGGTGGGTTGGGTTTTTATTTTCTGTATAAGAAATATATTACTGAGGAAAGATATAGTGAGGACAGACAGTGACATCTGGGTGAGACAGAGGAATAGAAGGAGAAGGATTTGTGTTAAGTGATGGTCAAGTTTTTGCCTGTGAGGAAAACAAGGCAACAGATGGAAAGTGAAGCAAGCTCTTGTTTGACACATGTAAAATGTCAAGTGAGGGTTTTAATTTCAACAAGAGATTCAGAGATTCTCCTTTATCCATTCGTTTATAACGCTTGGGGTTTAAGTTCTGCCTTTACGTGGAACCCAATCAAAGACAATGACAATTCAAATTCAATTTTGAATCTGTAAATGAATAATAATAACATTGTTCAACCATAAGTGAAGTAATAAAAAAAAAAACATGTGCCGTATTGAGTCTACCATTTTAACAGAAATCTCAAGCAAACTCTAGCATCTAGCAAACAAAGTGTGAAACCCTAACATTCGCATTCCAATAAGCGAATCAAGACTAAAACCTTTGAGAGCAAGTCAACTAGTGAATCAAGAAGAACCTTTGAGTGCAAGTCAGCAATTATAGGTTTTGATAGGCCCAATTTATTTGAAACATACTTTTCTTGTTTAGGCCCATTAAAAGTTTTAGTCTTGAATCTCTCTTGGCTTGTCTCACTTTTAGTCCTTTGTATCTTTTGTTAATCTTTTTTCTCACCAAAAACTTAAGAAAATCTCTAAATAAAATGCAGCTTACATGATATTACGAGGAAATTTGATCGCTAACATGAAATAAGTCGAAAATTCATACATGTAAATTCCAATTTTCTTTTCAAAAAACAAAGATTCTCACACACAAATAAAATTAAGATCATACATACAAAAACTCGTTTACACATCAAATCTAAAACGACTTAACTTTTGTCGTAAATATCTATCAACACAAGTATTGATATCTAGACTTTACGTAAGAGTTGGGACTGCTCTTAGGATGTAGCCACGACCGTCATCAAGTTGAATGTCTTAGCTGTCTCTGCCACTACATCAAACATTTGAGTCAGTCAAAATCATGATTTTACCCAACAACCACCTTATCTCTTTAACGTGGCATCATCTCTCTTCTTCCCCCCACTTTAATTTTTGAATTTATTAATGAAAGCTTTATAAAAATAAAAATAAAAATACAAATAAATACAAATGTGTCCATCCTTATCCTATTTTCTTAACCACTCTCTTAAGTTTAAAGTTAATGGCGATGAAAATAACTAACTACTCAAATTAAATAAACGTTACATCTGCAATAAGTTAATATATTTCTACCCCAAAAAATATTTACATATAGCATCATAACAGTCATAAATTTACATTATTTAGTTAAGTTTGTTATTTGTTTTGTCAGCTTTCTAATTAGCTTTTAAACAAAAACACTTTTCCTTTATATATTTCTAACAGAATCTTTGGTTCTATTAGAGGAATACTAATTTCTCCTGTCAAGGTCGGTCCAAGCCGGTGGTTAAAGTATCCAACTCTCAAATCCAACTTTTTTGTTGTTGTTAAAAAGCAAAACTCCCAATTCAGTTAAATTTGACACACACAAAAAAGTGAAAATATTATTATCTAAATGTAAAAAGAAGGAATAAAATAAAACATTACAAAACAAACCGCGTGAACTCCAGTCTCCAAAGCCAATTGAAAACAGCTTTTACTACAAGATGGGCCCAATCTCAATCTCTCCAGCTGTTGCATCATAAACGCGGCTTCCTCTTTCACCATACGGAACCTTCCTCTTTCGAACCGCCCCTCCAACTCCAACCTTTTCTACTACTATATATAGACATTCTTCCATAAACCCTTAAACCACAAACCAAAAACCCAACAGGAGAAAAAGAACCCAAAAATCTCAAAATGGCTATCAATTACTTCCTTCCTCTGTTTCTTTCCCTTATCATCTCCTCTGTTTCAGCTAATTTCCAAAGAGACGTTGAGATCACTTGGGGAGATGGACGTGGACAGATCAAGAACAATGGAGAGCTCCTCACTTTATCGCTAGACAAATCCTCTGGATCTGGTTTCCAATCCAAAAACGAGTACTTGTTTGGTAAAATCGACATGCAAATGAAACTCGTCCCTGGAAACTCCGCAGGAACAGTCACAACACTCTACGTAAGTTTTTTAACAACATTCTTAAATCTTGTATTTATGTTTTGTTTTTGCATATATATACTAGTTCGTATATCTAAATTTAGGTTTTTTGGTATTTTTTGCAGTTGAAGTCACCTGGAACAACATGGGACGAGATTGATTTCGAGTTTCTAGGGAATCTAAGTGGAGATCCTTACACACTTCATACAAATGTCTACACACAAGGCAAAGGAGACAAAGAGCAGCAGTTCAAACTCTGGTTCGACCCAACAGCTGATTTCCACACTTACACCATTCTGTGGAACCCACAACGAATCATTTTCACCGTCGATGGAACTCCGATTAGAGAATTCAAGAACATGGAGTCTGTAGGCACTCTGTTTCCCAAGAACCGACCAATGAGAATGTACTCTAGTCTCTGGAACGCCGATGATTGGGCCACGAGAGGTGGTTTGGTCAAAACCGATTGGTCTAAAGCTCCTTTCACTGCCTCGTACCGTGGCTTTAACCAAGACGCTTGTGTTTGGTCAAACGGCAAGTCTTCTTGTCCTAATGGCTCGAAACAGGGGACTAGTGGCTCGTGGCTGACGCAGCAGCTTGACTCTACTGCTCAAGAAAGGATGAGATGGGTGCAGAAGAACTACATGATCTATAATTATTGTACGGATTCGAAGAGGTTCCCTCAAGGTCTTCCTAAAGAGTGCTTAGCTGCGTAGAGAGAGAGTAAAGAGTTTTAGAGAGAAACGAAATTCTACTTTTTTATTTCTTGTTGTAAAATTCTATTCATTTTATTGTAGATCACATGAATTTTATTGATTCGTTTGCAGTGTACTAATAGATTAATATTCTCTATGTTACCATGTGGCTTTTTTTTTTTAATTTTTCTAGTCTCTCCTATCATATATTCATATATATAATTCGTTGAGTCTGTCCAAATATGGCCGCTTCTGTTGTCTTTCTGAATTAGGATTGGAGGGACAATCAACCAAATTCCCCCCATATGGAGCAAATTAATAACGTTTTTTTAATGGTTTATTTATAGTGGTGTTTGCATGCTATTTCATTGGTACAATCAGTTTATTTAATACAGAATAAAACTATACCGACTTTAGTTTCTAGTAATCAGAACCAGTTAATAATAGTAAACTAAAATTATTGTGCAAACGCGAGTAAGAAAAAAGTAGAGTTTTTAAATAAAAACAAATTAAGATAAATATTTGTTTAGAATTTAGTTTTATTAACATGTGAATTATGTTTACACTTTGAATAGGAACAACAAACTAATTTGATTTCTATCAACTTGTTTCTTTAGAATAATTTGTATAGATATTCTTAAGTTGTTTTTTTTTTTTTATCAATCTATCATGTTATTAGGATAGCGAAGCTTAATTTATTTGTTACTTGAACAAAAATTAGTTTTATTCTAACCATTTTTAGCCAATTTGTGGAAGTGCACCAAAATTTAATCTACTTACAGTTTCTAAATTCTTTCAAGCGAAATTAAGCCTGAAAACCGAGATATATATCTAAACAAATAACATAATTACCACTCTTCTTATTCAGAACCAGTTAAACAAGACTCAGCCATTATTCCAAATATCGAACCGGATCAGATCGACTTAAACTGAAACAAAGAAACGAGCACACGTAGCATGAGGCAAAACTAAGCACCTGCTTGTTTCACAACAACCAGCTGTTCACAGATTAAACAATACAAGAGTCACAAACGGCGAACTAAACTCCAAAAAGACTAAGAGTAACCTCCCTTGTATAAATCCACCCCCAACACACACGGTCCCAATGAATGATTTCAATTCTCAATCTTATCGACACATAAGCATGGACCGTTTTACTTTGATCTTATCTCTACTCCTCACTCTCCTCTTCTTCGCTCCGGCTTTCGCCGGAACTTTCGACACAGAATTCGATATCACTTGGGGTGATGGTCGTGGCAAGGTCCTTAACAACGGAGAGCTTCTCACTCTCTCTCTCGATAGAGCCTCCGGCTCTGGTTTTCAAACCAAGAAAAAGTATTTGTTCGGAAAAATCGATATGCAGCTCAAACTCGTCCCTGGAAACTCTGCCGGAACTGTCACTGCCTACTACGTTAGTGGTTACATAATATTATAATTAATCAGATATTTATACGTTGTTACCATTTCATATAAAGATAAGTTCCTGTTTCACAGGGCTATCTTTATTCATGCGCAAATTAAACGTTTTGAATATCTAAAAATTAGAACTTCCTTTTTAAAAAAAAAAAAAAAAAGTTGTACATAACAATCACATATTTTGAGACGGTCATGTTCTGTATATATACTTGATTAGGTATTTTATGATTCTTTAAACCGGGTTCGTGGTTGCTTTTGATGCAGTTGAAGTCGGATGGTAATACGTGGGACGAGATTGATTTTGAGTTTCTCGGTAATCTAACTGGTGATCCGTATGTGATGCATACGAATGTGTATACTCAAGGCAAAGGTGATAGAGAACAACAGTTTAATCTCTGGTTCGATCCAACGGCAGATTTTCACACTTACTCTGTTTTATGGAACCCTCATCGTATTGTGTAAGTTAATATAAGTATAAAAATATACACATATGTAGCAACAATTTTAAGTTTTTTTTTTGTTTAACTAGAAAGTTCAAAGCCTTTAAAACAAATATTTTTATAGTTATAAATAAAAACCGTCTCTGACATTTTGTTTTTCCTCTTGTTATAAAAGTCTTTGATATTACTTTAGATTTCATTGATATAACTTGTGGCTGTAATTCAAAAAATTTGAGTTTGTCATATATTTTGATACAGTTTCTTGGTTGATGGAGTTCCGATAAGACAATTCAAGAACCTACAACACAGGGGGATCCCGTATCCGAAAATGCAGCCGATGAGGCTTTACTCGAGTCTATGGAACGCGGACCAGTGGGCCACAAGAGGAGGTCTTATTAAGACCGACTGGTCCAACGCACCATTCACCGCTTCTTACAGGAACTTTAGAGCGGACGCATGTGTTTCGTATGGCGGAAAATCAGCTTGTCCTGCGAGTTCACCAAGATGGTTCTCTCAAGGGCTTGATGTAACTGCGGAAGCTAAGATGAGAGCGGTGCAGAGGAGGTTCATGGTTTATAACTACTGTACGGACTCCAAAAGGTTTCCTCAAGGATTTCCAAAGGAGTGTAGAATTCCCTAGCTGGTCACTAGCTTCTGCATCTTGTGTAGTTAATTAATGTTTGGTCCGAAACTCCAAAGCTAGTAGTATCTAGGTTCGTCCAAAATATGTATGTATTGTGTATTTAGGGTTTATGTTAATCATATTCCCATGTTTCTATGTAAATGTTCAGAATAAAAATGCGTGTGAATTATGATGGGTTTTTTTCTTCTAACAACGGCAAAACTACCACAAAATCTCTAGGTTACATGCCAAAAATCTTATTTTGTTGTTCCATTTACATATTGTAAATTTTGGTGTGTTTAGTGTATTCTAGAAAACAAAATTAAGCTGATAAAGATATATGTATGATACTTTCTAGAAATAAGGTTTTACTATATGTTTCCTGTAATTTACATTAAAATATGATTAATCCTATACAGATAGAAGAAAATAAAAACTCTTAAAGGTTAATAAAGGGTTTCAAGGGTTAAAAACTGCAAAAGTAAGAGTGGGATCTAACGTACGGCTGTAAACCCTTTTCCTTTGAGAAGAGGCCAACCAATCTTAACCCACCCATTGACCATCATTCCAGAATAATATAAAGAAAAACATACTTTCTTCGACTGGTCAATCCATTTCTCTTAAAATCTCGAAGCTTATTTCTCAAACGTATCTTGCTTCACCACCAGTTAGATCTTGTCTCTTCACAATCTCTCTCTTTTTGTATTTTTCAGTTATCATTTTGTTTGTGTTCATGTTGCTCATGCTTTATCTTCACATCTCTGCATTTCATGTAATTTCTTGTGTCAGTATATGAGTTATCCCCAAAATCAAGACCCTTTAGTATGTGTAACTGGTACAGTCATGTATAATTTTTTACTAATAACTGGTACCGTTTAGTTTGAATGTTTATATATATTGAGACATAATTTAAAACCTTTTTTATTCACAATTTAGTATATGAACCAAACTTATACATTTGAGTCAAATGCATTTCCAGAAAAAAAAATGGAAGAATCAATTTAACTAAATGATAAGAAATGAGTCGCCGTTAAAAAAAAATTATAATAAATTAGTTATATGAGAAATAAAATAAAAAGAACATTACCAACATGTATAATATATGTGTAAGTTGAACGACTAATATCTGTTAATAAGCTGACATAATCCATTAGATAATAATAATTAAAATTCGTTAGTGTAAGACAACCACGTCGATAATGGGTCTCCACGAACCTCTTTTGCACTCGTTTTCTAAAATCTTTCGCTATAAAAACACCAATCTCCAATCATATTCAAACCATCAGAAAACAATTACTTTTAAACAACAACAACAACAGAGCAAAGAAAAATGGCAGCTTTTGCGACCAAACAGTCTCTGTTGTTGTTGTCGTCTCTTCTGCTCTTGATCGGCGTATCAACGGGTAGTTTCTACGACAACTTCGATATCACATGGGGTGATGGTCGTGCCAACATTTTCGAGACTGGACAGCTCTTGACTTGCACTCTCGACAAGATCTCCGGTTCTGGTTTTCAATCGAAGAAAGAGTATCTATTCGGAAAGATCGATATGAAGATGAAACTTGTCGCCGGAAACTCAGCCGGAACAGTCACTGCCTACTACGTACGTAAAACAACAACATCTATCTCCGTTTCTTTCTTAAATGTTTGTAGCATTGTTTGTATGGTTTTGGATCTGATATTAAGAATGTTTTCCACAGCTTTCCTCGAAAGGCAAGACATGGGATGAGATCGATTTCGAGTTCTTGGGCAATGTTACCGGACAGCCTTATGTTCTTCATACAAATGTGTTCACCGGAGGTGTAGGTAACCGTGAAATGCAGTTCTATCTCTGGTTCGATCCCACTGCGGATTTCCACACCTACACCGTCCTTTGGAACCCTCTCAACATCATGTAAGTAAATGTGGTTCAAACCCAATGGTCATAACATTATTAGGGCTTAATTTCATCAATTTTTTTCGCCATACGTGTGGTGGAAGCCACTATTTTGAAGCTTTGATCCCATCCATTACCGTTCTTGATTTTGTGTTTTCTTTTCTTGTTGTTGGGATCTCAAAAGCTTTCTAGTGGACGGAATCCCAATCAGGGTATTCAAGAACAACGAGGCTCACGGTGTGGCTTACCCGAAGAGCCAGCCGATGAAGATATACTCGAGTCTATGGGAAGCTGATGACTGGGCCACGCAGGGCGGTAAAGTCAAGACCGATTGGACCAACGCTCCATTCAGCGCTTCCTACAGGAGTTTCAACGACGTGGACTGCTGTAGCCGGACTTCACCATGGAATTGGGTAACGTGCAATGCGAATAAGAACTCGTGGATGTGGACCACACTTAACTCCAATCAGCTCGGACAGATGAAGTGGGTGCAAGATGAGTACATGATCTATAACTATTGTACTGATTTCAAGCGGTTCCCTCAAGGCTTCCCCACGGAATGCTACCTCGACTGATCGTGTTACCGAGAAAAATTCAAGAACTTGATACAGTTTCTTTCTAATTTTTTTACCTCATGATTTGTTGATTTGATTTGGACCATTTGGTTATTCTTTTGAGTTTCTAAAGATTTGTTGCCCTCCGCATTGGGTAATTGATACTTTAATTTACGATTACATGTTGAATTTTTCCATTTTATAAAAACTATAATAAATTTTGATTCGAACCTAAACAGACCAACGTCACCAACCTGAGAATATAGCAAAGAAACAGAGTATTCGGTTATGAAAACAGAACAAAGTACAATGAATCAGGATTTCTCTGTTATTTTTATTTACCTGGGCCTTGGGCTTTTTAACACATTAATAAATAAGTCCGTCAGCAAATTTGTGGTTCACTGAACTCAAACCAACTGAAGATGTCTTAGTCTTAAACCAGGATTAAACCGAGACCACAAACCAACAGGATAGCTTCCTCAATTGTGTTAAATTCACCAACGGGATAACTAAAACATGAAGTTGATTACAATAAGAAGTTGATCCCCCAAAAATTACAATAATTTTTCCCCATGGATGTACGTAGTAAGTCAATGGTACCTATAATTCAATTCTAGTGATAATAATTGACTTTTCATGTCGCTGAAAAATCAACTGTATAATCTTTTGTAAATTCACATACACAGACTTTAGAATTTTTTACGTCTGATTTGATCATAAAGCAAAACATAATCATTGTAGTAGAATTAGTCTAACTCATGATCTCTTTTGCTCTTTTAATATTTGTTGAAAACCCATCATGGTATATCTAACAAAAAAGACTCTGATTGATACGACACCGTTTCGGACCCACCTGTAAGTTCATTACGTCTAAAACTCTTACTCGGTATTTATAGAACAAGCAAGATTAAACGAAGATCGATTAAAATGAGATAATAACAAAGAGAGTTCCACTACATAACTTGTTGGTCTCTTGTTAATGATGGACAAGATTGGTAACTAATAAAGTTTAGAAGGTTGCATTTGTGTTTGGACGATAACACTCGTCTCTTACACATATCTCTTCAATCAGATGTCAACAAAAGTTGTCAAGATTCCATGTATCGATTCCGACGTGAACGAAATGATAAAGTATTTTCACGATATACCCGGTTTTGAACTATTTTGCTTGCTGACCTAAAAAAAAAAAAAATTAACACCTTGTAATTAACAGATGGTGTTACAGTGTAATATATATTACAAGGTGTTATCGATAAATTAATATGGCATTCGCTTTTTCATCTTCTTTGTAAATTTGTCTTGTGTTGAAATTAACATTACTTTTATGGTCATGAAGAAGGGAAACATTATCTCAAGGAAGTGATCATCGTGACTTGCTCAATTTGAGACATTGAATTATTGAATCAAAAAGTCATTTAAAAAAAAATTATGCATTCTCTCATCTCATACACGCCACTAGATATACCTTCACTCGGGATATTTTATTTTCTTAATTTAAATCAGTTTATGTGTCTCACGTTTAATTACCGGTTCACCAAATCAAACTCAAATTAGATAGCCGTATACGAGACAAATTATTGTTTTCATCTTATGTAATGTTCTTTGAACTCTTTTTTTAACTTTCTTCCTGATTAAAACAATTTCTTGCAAGAATTTTTATTAATTTCAATATGGCACTGTAAACTATGGTGTTGCCGGCTGTCATATGCTTAAAAATAAGAAGCAAATGCATGATGAATAATAAAGTACGAAGTACAAGTAATAACTTTACAAAACTAGATTTCCTCATCAGGAGGCTGAATACTTTTACAATTCAACAAATAACGACGATACGTCAACAACCTGTTTTCGTGATTAGTCCTCTCTTTTTTTTAATTTACTTTTAGAAAGGTACAATTTATGGTGAAATTGTTTTTTTGCCTTTTTGAACTCTAATTTATGGTGATATGTTCTAAATTGATACCAAAACAATTAGTGAAAACAGTTGCAATATAATTATAATTAATATTAAATAGAATAATAAATAAATAAATAATAGTAGTTCAAAAGTATTGCAATGTAGAATATTTAATAAAATTTAACGTTGCAATTTGTTTTAGGATACAAAACTCTGGTGTATCGACTTTGGAATTTTTTTTCCTTTGGTTGTGTACTTAACGAAATCTTTGATTGATGAAAATTTAAAAACAAAGAAGGTTGTATATAGACACGAAAAATATTTAAATAGTAATAATAATAAATAGAGAAACAATGAATTGAATCAGACCATAATATTTCGTTCTTCTCTCAGTAATAAAAATTGTAAAAATCTAAGATGTTATTTATTTGATTATTTAAAATTTCGACTTAGCTATTCTTTTCAATTTCACGTATTTTTTAAAAAAAATTGTAGAAATTTGTAACATCTAAAAGTAAATTATTGTCAATTATGTAAATTAACTTTTTATCATTTAAAAGTTTTAATATATCAAACATGATATATTATTCAAACATGGTTAACATGCTCGTCTAGCAAATGTATAGAGTAATAGAGAAGAAAATACCACGAAAACCTCATATATTCATTAAAAACTTGTGGTATATGAAAACAATATGAAAGCTTATGTCTAGATGCTGTTATGAGCTCAAGAGAGGAATAATATAGAACTATTAGTGAATATACGGATAGATCCGTATAGGTATGTATTTATTGATGTCATATGTGGGTATATGTTATATATATAGAATTCACTTAACTAAGTATAGTTTCGCAGCACATGTCTCCTTGTCGGGGCACATTGATATATTGATCAATAATGTATGATATATAAGCGACATTCAACCATTTTATAATGCAGTAATATAGTATGCTCATACTAAAATAAACCATCTATATAGGTTAAATACTCATCTTATCCTTTGTGCCTTTTTTTTACTTCCAAAAAAATTTTTTTCGTAAAATTTGGAAAAACAACAACACAAAAATATATGTATCATCATCTTCCAAAACCAACTTTGATTTGAATTGTGGACTATAGTTACAACGCTAACTCGGTTTAACGTAAGAAAGCATGATTAATTAATACGTAATAGACTTAACGAAGAACAATTAATTTAAGGATTAACAATTGATATGATGATATGACTAACAAAATAGAAGATTATCTTAGAGCCTTAACGACAAGTCAAGGTGACTTATCTCCTGATCCTGATCAAGATTACTCTCCGGCACACGACGGCCTGAGGAGTTCCTCGGGCCACCGCTTTCAACAAATCCTTCATAGCCACGGCCGTAGAGCTCAAACCGACCGGAGAACGGGTAAGGCTGATCGGAATCAACAGTTGTTGAGGATCTAAAGAGTTCCCGACTCTTCTTGGCTAAGGTTCTCTCAAGCTTATGAGCGTTTTGGTGACCACCAAGAGCTTGAGAGCTGTAAAACTTTCTTTGACAATAGTTACAAGAGAAGACCCTAGGCTGCTCCAAACATGATGATGAGTTCGTGGAAGAAGAAGAAGAAGAAGACATAGAAGAAGGCTCGAGAACAAGTTCTAGGTTTAGTTGGTGGTTCTTGTAACTTGGTAGGCTCAGGCGTAGAGATGTGTTTGGCTGAAAGTCCATACCTAAACGTTTAGTGAGAGAGATAGAGAGAGAGAGAAAGCGAGAGGTGAGAAAGATGAGAAGAGAGAAGTGTGTTTGAAGGGTTTGGTATTGAGGGCATTATATTTAAGGTGTAAAGGTGCGTAGGTTTGCTCAAAACTCATGTTGGCTGCAACTTCTACTCTAAAGTATGGAGAGAGAGAGATGAGACATGGAAGCTGAAAGAATCAGTGGGGATCCGAGTGTTGTCGCCTCCATTAATGGCACCATTTGAACCCTTTGTCGGTTCATCTAATATTATTTTCCTCCGAGTTTATATATTACTCGATACATATATTATTATATCTAATGGTATCGTTTTAGAGTGTTGAACACCTTAAAAATGATGTCCCATGTGGTAGTTGTTAGGACCAAACACATAAGATATCTGTTTTAATTTGAGTATTAATCGTAGTTAAATTCTGCCTTTTACTAACTGGAATTAAGTTATACCATACATTACTTTGAACGTAATTCTATAAAATTTTCCATTTATACCAAAGTATGCGAAAAAAAATTCTAACCATGGCCAAGAAAAATATTTATGTTCAAATTTAAACTTGTACCAAAAATAATATGAGATGATCATATAAAGAGAAAAGTCGACTTTTGTGACTTTGCTAAACAATGGTTTAATTACGTACGTTAATGTCATGTGCAAAATGAAAATGAATTATCAATTATAGTTTTAGACTTTTATTTGAAATCGCTTGGTTATGAAAAAGAAAAAAAAAACATTCAAAATTATGTATATTTGTACTTTTCAGGTTTGTAATAAAATGCATCAATTATCACAAATTTATATTGATGATACGCCATTGAAAGAAAATTTATTTTGTTTGACTAAACTTTTTTAAAGTAATGTAATTCATAAATTTGTATTTAGAGGTTAGAATGTTTTTTTCTTAATTTCCACACGTTAGTATATAGAATAGAATATTTATAATTCTCTATTTCTTTGCACTTTTTTATAGTTAAATTTATTGTTATGAAAAAGAAATAGAGAATCTAACTATTAGAAAAAAAAATATTGTAAAAAGGGCATAAATGTCCACAAAAGAAAAAGAATAGCGTTTCAATCAAAACAGCTGTTAGGTTCATTAAATAATTCATGAAAAATGAAAGACTTAATATCAAAGCTCTCTTATCAAATTTCCAGTAATGGCAATGAACACTTGCCGTGATAAAGCTTTTTGACTCGGCTTAAACATGTAAGATGATGTTAACCCCTCCAATTAATTGAGTCATCGCCCATCGTACGATCAGTTACTCCATCCAACGGTTTACAAGAAGTTCGTACCAGATAAGATGTGGACTGCGCCACAGTGAACCCACTTTGGCTATATCACGTTCTGCCTTTAGTGAGTTTACAATCGTAGAAGTCATTTCAGTTTGAATTGTTTCAAATAAATTCAATTACTTTTAATTACTTTAGATCAATGAAGACACATCGATGTCATGTGTACATATGTTTCATTAAGACTTTTGTCGTTTAAAGATTGAGAGAGATTGCGTTTTTGTACTAATCTCTCGTGTTTGTTTCGCTTTCTTTAATTAATTTTATTTAATATGGGTCCTATCAATTTTGAATATATGGTACTTTGCTAACCAGCCAAGTGAAACTGATTGATCAAAGTATATATTTCTAAACGGCTAATAACCATAAATTCTTGGGTTCCAAATTTCCAATGTCCTATAATTTACAATCACCATGTGTTACTCAAATAAAATAGGCTGTTGTGTTAGTGTTGCTATTAGAACAATTTTTAACCTTTTCAAATAAAGCAATTGAAAAGAGTTCTCATATAGAAACTATAATTTTCTATAATTATTTTTAACTATATTTATAAGTTTGGGCTACTATCTGTTTTCAAAACTAATTATTATATTAAATATAGTTTTAATCAAATATTTGAATAAAATCTACAAATAATTTGAGACGACTCTGACTGTCACTGTGGTAGTATTTGGATTTAAATACGTATACTGTATGTTTATTCGGATTCAAATTCGTCATTATGTTAATATTGACAACAAGTGATAAAATAAGATTTAAACAATTAGACAAACCAACTGAAGTCTTAATTTGGTTGAACTTAGTTTATAGTTTTTTTATCCGTAAATCAAAACATATTCAAATTAAACTGAAACTGAAACTTTTTTCAATATAAATTAGTGATACTTTTATATTAAATCTGAACATAAACTGAAACTTATACTGCTTCATACACGATACACATCTAATTTTGATCATTGCTACCCAACAAAATTTTTTTAAAAAAAACTGCAAATCAGAAATTAAATTGCCACAAGATCATAATTGAACCCTTTATTAGAAAATAATAGTATATATATTTAATATTGGTCGAAACCAACATAATTAATATTTTACTAATTTCAAAAGGTTATATATAACATTGGTAAATTGCCAAAATTTTAGTCATGTTTTTTTTTTTATATAAAACTTATTTTCTTTGGTTAAAAAAAAGCTATTCTATTAATACAATTTGCTGGTACAATACATTTTTGAACATTCCTATTTATTTGTAAAACCTAGCAGTTACTGCTAAATCACGTTTTTATATAAACCAAACTTGAAATTTAACACCCCGACATAATTTTTCTTTTCTTTTTGTTGTTATGAAAACTGAATGCAATGCAATTATATGATTTGATTATGAGGAGACGTGGAAGATGAGGCGACCAAAATAAAATTTTAAAAGAAGGTCGGACTATGTTGCTGTCCACCTCAAATCTATTTGTCCTACGATGGGACGACATTAATACTTCATGTGACGATTAGTACAATACATAATAATACATGTATAGTATATATCAATGTCATGAAGTTACTACTGTATGTAGTTATAAGGAAGTAATTGGACAAATTATACGATAGATTGCGTCCATTATGACGCTTTTGTTGGACAAGAATGTCCCTTTAACATTATGCATAAAAAATATATTGATGGATTTTTTTATTTTGAAGAGTGGTCCATCAAGAATGGTATTTCGTGAAAATTCTCAATTTGTTACTATTTGTTAAATTAGTGGCCCAACAATCTATGTATGTAATTACCTAAATACTTTATGATTATGTCAATTGCCTAACAAAACTGGTTAGCGTATATTTCTACGTAAATTAGATATCAAAAGTAAACAAATCCCTCGTTATGGAAAAATATTCGTAACAGTTTGGGGTAAGATAGGTTGAAGTCCGTTTAACCAATTATATTATTTGTTAGATATATTTGGATATTAGTTAAATAATTATAGCAAAGCAGCAACTCAGGATGGCACATGGGAAGTGAATGCCTGAATGGGACTGAATTATAAAGCTATGGAACAAAATTTCATGAATATTTTAATTTCGTTGATTATTAAAAACATATTCATCAAGGTGATTTTTTTTTGTAAATTCCGCGTACGGTTTCCACCAATAGGGAAATGATACATTACGCTTTCATTATGTCCACTTACATATATAGATGAAAAAATAAATTATAAAAACACGGTCTTCTGACTCAAATTTTTTTTTTTTTTTGACTCAAAACTTTTTAAATAACGACTTTTTGCAGTTCTAACTTTTAATTTCCTTTTTAAAATTACAGATTAATTCTACGAAACTAAAAGTAAACTTGCAGTATAATTCTTTCATATTTCATCGTATAAGACACTGTATATTGATTAATAGATTATAACGACATAATTTTAGAAACAAATAAAAAAACCAACAAACAACGAAATAGAAAATCAAATCCTTAAATTTATTAGCAAACCAAAACAATTTAACTATTCGTACTAGATGGTTTTGTATACTATAATAACAAATGAAAATAATATACGATAAATTAATAATTTGATAAATTAATATTTTTTTCATTCTTAAATATAGTTACATAATATATCTATAAATTACTAAAATTTTATAAAATTTCATGATTACAACATTATAAAATAAATAATTTACTGTATAACTATATAATTTTTGACCATTTTTATACCAGAATTTGATACAATCTACGATATTATAATCATAACTTCACAACCATTGCCACTCCATCAATCACCGTCAACTTTGCTAAACCAAGAAAAAAATGCATTAATTTGCCCAAAAAAAAATATTAATTTAAAATCTTTGTGATGAGGAGTTTAACTCTACTTTTAAATTTTATAAACTAAAATATAAATATGTTGTCATACTTTTTTCAAAACATCTACTTTTAGAACTTAGAAATAATAAAATATGTTGTCGTAAAAAAAATCGAATTAACTATACCTGGTGAGATTCCGGCTAAGTTAATTAATGTGGTACCATTGAATTTCAAACCGTAAGAGGTTTTTAAAGAGTTAGATATTACTACATCTGATACCTCAAATGAAAATCTGCCATTGATAAAGTTTTGGTTAAAATCTGAAAGAATAAGCTAAGAGAGGTTGACGAAAAAAAAAAAAGAGAGAGAGAGAAAATCAGATTTAAGTTTATATGTGTGTTTTGTTTTGTTAGGTTATCAAAAAGAGCTATTGGCACAATCGTGTGTAGCTCGGTTTAATAATTGAGGTCGAGCGTTCAAAGTTGAGAGTGAAGTTATTTAACAAATTTGCCAATTATAAAGGTTTTTTTCCAGAATTATAAGGTGTTAAGATGTGGTTATTTTTGTGATGATACTTGTGTATTTGTAATCCGTTAAACCTTTGGCTTCATTAATAACATCAGTTGAAGAAAGAAAAAAAGTATCAGAAGATCAGATCTGATCACTTTAAAATTATCATATTCATAACCCATTTTTTAAGAAGAAAATAAGAGAATGATTAGAACAAGGTTAGACCATGATTGTGGGATTATAATCCAAACCGTCGGCTAAGTTTGCGCTGAGCATTTTGTCTCTTTATTACAAACACAGCACAACAAGATCTGTTTCACATGATTTGTTATGTTCATGTTATTTTATTCATTAGTTCCATACATATTTTAATTAAGATTTAAGAACCAACAAAAAAAGATTAAACATTAATTCGATATGCATGATATGATCAGTCAAAGCATATAGTCTTTGTACTTTGTAACAAATATTTGGTCAGTGATTTGTATATATATGATTATTAGTATCAATATATCAATTGAAAGAACTTAGACGGAAATGGTTGTGAACATGTTTTTCCTTTGTCCAATTCTAATAACAATATCTTACATTTATCAGAACCACATGGTTTGTTTTCGTAAATGGTATGATATAGTAATAATACGATGAATAGTAAAATAGAGATATTGTGTAATACTAGATAGTAGAAGTAACATATTATATCACTTTGTAGTTATTTAATGATGAAATATTAATTTTAAATTTCTGCAAAAAATTTTAAGAATGTTGACATAATGTTTTTAAGGTTATATAGAAACGAAAGCAGAGATATGGAACCGAAACTCTTGAAAGCATAAAAACAAATGCTTATATATATATCGTCACATATATATCATCAACTGATCAACCACAGCATATATCAATTTTTCTATCGTGCGAGAGAGGACAAACGGACAGTGATGCCGCCTTTTATTCCGTTCTCTTCAAACATAATAAATCGTTGTTTGGAACGCTAGTCGAATCAAATCCGAGTCAAGAACAGAAGAAAGTTGTGGTTGATGATGATGATATATATATATATATATATATATATATATATATATAATGTCTTAGTGTGTCGTCTGACCAAAGCTAAAAGTATATTGTTAAATGCCTTTCTCTTATGCAAATTAGAGATTTAGTCGATATTGGTAGGTCCATGATACCCAGAATCTCAACTTAGAAATTTAATCGAGAGAGTCGAAGAACTTTGCGATGGACCACCTAAAAGCAACACTCACTCACTTAAGAAAAAGAAAACTGTATCTTATGGTGCAAGTCACTATACAAGCTTTAATCGTTATAAGCTTTAACTAGTTAGTGGATTGTTGCATAAACAGCAAAATTCATGTTGTTTTTTTTTATTGTCTTAAAAAGAGAGGAGGATACTATGCATAATGCAATATCAGTTCATCATTTAACTGTGTTCTTATCCGAATCTCCACGTCACTTTCTTTTACGTCTTGTCATATATTGAAAACTTGTATTTCTATCCACCAAGAGTTAACACATCCTTAAACAATCGAAAATAGCGACAGATTAGGGATATGAAATGTTTGGCTATGAAACAATGCTTAACAAAATGGTTTTGGACCTTTTGGTGAATTTTCCAATGGGTCCATTTAACAATAATTTTAGCAATAATTTGAGGTCCATTTAGAAATACCTAGTCATAAAGTTACTGAATATATGATATGAACAAACTTTGTTGGAAATTTTGCACTTTTACTGCAACGAGTACCATTTGCAAATTTATTATAAATTTCTAACAAAGTGACTTCAGGGGATCAACAAAGTGTCTCCATGTAATGTTTTGTAATTTGTACAGAACAGACACTGCAAAATAAGCATTATAGAAAAGGGGTCAAGCACTTACGGAAAGATAAAAGCCCAACAAGAATAGTAAACATCGAAGAAACCAAATGAATCCATGAAATTTATAAATCATGCCATAGAATAAACCAATGGAAATTGTATATGATGAAATTATTTGATTAATTGGATAAACGATTAGCTGGAAATAAATCGAGTGGAGTTATATAGAAGAATAGAACTTGACCAAAAAAGAGAGAAGAAAATCAAAATGGATATGATATGTTATACAGTTCAATTAAAATTGTTATAAAAAAAAGATTTAAAGATAAAGGTGGCAGACAAAAAGAGTGAAGCAAAGTTGACAATTTGAAGTTGCAAGGGTGAACATGAAACTGATATCTTGTCATTTATATTCCATGGTTCTTTGTTTTCTTTTTCTTTTTGTTTTTTTTTTTTGAACTTTTTCGTATCTTTTTCTTATGAGAGATGTTCATGTTATCTTTAGTATTTAAATATTTTGGATCAGTTATTAACAATATGTACTGTAACTCTTTAAGTGATGATGTCATGAATTGAATAAATCATACGAAACATGGAGCCGTATATCCGGCAAAACAGAAACAATTATCTCTAGTCGAATTATTTTTGTTTTTCAGTTTTTTTTCCGTATAATTATGTTTCCATCAACTAAATTTTTTTTATTATAATTTGTTTCCTAGTTTGAATTTCCGAACCTTCCATCTAAAAAAAAAAAGTATGATTGGCAAATAAAAACCATCATTAAACCATGTAAATTTCTTCGATGAACCCCACCTATTCTTTTACTCAGACAGGATAAAATTATTTATCGATAACTAACTATTCTATTTGGTAAATTCCATTTATTATTTAAAAAATTCACCTCTAAGAACAAAATTTTACTATAACACCGTTAATAAATAAAAGGAATATATAAAACTCCGATCTAACATTTCATGTCTTACAAGGAATCTGATCAACTAATAACGCGATTAAAGAAAGCTAAGTCTTCGCCCGCAATGTTGACTGACCAATTCTTCGTTCTTTTCCCTTTCTATTAAGTTATTCTCGATTAAATTAATCATATAGAAAAAATTTGTGAACATTATTATATAACATTTCTGCAACAAACAAAAATAAGATATATTAATTTAAATTAGAGGCCCCTAATATTATGGATGTTGAATCAGCTGAGATTCAAGTTATCAAAGACAAGATTTAATTAGTCCAGTGCTAAATCTTAAAATGTCACTCTCAAATTGAACAAATTCGGTTGAGTTCGAATTCTCATGCAGGGAGCTTTAAAGAAATCATTGCAATGAGCTTAAAATAAATGATAAAAAATTATAAATGTTCTAGACCATATAAGATGCTCGAGAATATACGATCATTTAAAAATTGTAAATGTACGTGCACCCCACTTTTCGTTTATAAAATTCGAAATTTTCACTCGCTATACCATATTGATACGCCTCAGTATTGGTACGTAAACTTCCAATCAGTTTCCTAATCCTATGTATATCTCTATATATTATAATATTCAAAACTATATGTTATACAGTTTTCGTTGAAAATTACATGAGGCTGCCGCCGACATCAACCATGTCTATATAAGACCCATACTTTTTGCAATTCCATCATATTTCAAAAAACGCACACACAAATTCCATCGACACCAATTTATTCAACAAGAAAAAAGAGATCGAGAGTATTTTATTTGCTGACATGGCAAAGAGCAAAGACGGTTCGCTACTAAACCGGTTGAGACAAGCTGTGAATAAAGTGAGATTCGTGTTAAATTTCAAGATAAACAGCCTATGGGGTCTCGTGCCGATGCTTGGGTCTTCCTCTTCTTCTTCGTCTCTTCGGTTTAGTTTTAATGATAGACTCGGTTTAGCAGCTGCTTGTACGGAGGAGAATGAACCGGACTCAACCGGTTCTTCAAGAGGAGCGTTGTATAGAGCCGGGAGCTATGATCCATCTTCAGACGAAGACATAGACAACAAAGCTGAGATGTTCATAGCTAATTTCTACAAGCAGCTTAAGATTGAGAGACAAATCTCTTTGGAACTTAAATATTGCTTGGGTAATAATCAGAGTTTCAACTACAGGTCGCCTTAGTTTTCATACTTTTTATTTATTCATTCGTTCATTTAATTTGTTGTAATAAATAAGATCCTATAAATTTCATTGGGTCTTATAGTTCATGATGGGGCCTGGCTGCAGTTTTTTTCGTGGTAGGCTCATCCATATTGTCGTCATCGCATTTTTTCATATGCATTTTATAATTTATGAATGTAATGATCTCATGAGAGAAAAATGTGATGTTTTAATAATGTCAGTTGATCGATTTGAGTATTTAAAGCTACTTGTTAACATATTTAAAGCTTATGTTGCTACTTGCTACTAACCTATTTAAAGCTTTCGTTTCTATATAACATCATTGTGAATGCGATAAGCCTATAACTATTGAAGAAGTAATTAGTTAATAATGCACGTTTCTACTAACTTTTACTTCCCATCTCATATTTTGGAGTGACTATCTGTTTTCTTATAGAAATTTGGATATACAGTATACTCGCTCAGAAAAGAAAAAAAAAATATTACAAACGTAGAATTGTAAGTAATGTTAACGTTTTAAGCGTTTTACCGGTTTCATTATTGTCACTTATTAAAACTAAAATAACTAAGGCTACGCATGGTGCAAAATTGTATTTAAATCTGAGTTGTATCAGGACATTTCCCAAGTTTTATTCATTAGTTAGAGCATCCGATACACCGATCATATTTCATGTACCAAAATCATTAGGAGCGTAAGTTTCTTGCAACCATCATAATATCAAACTTAGGCTCCTAGTGATCATAATTCATACATATATTCATATCCTCTTATCTTCATTTTTCAAGTGAGTGTGGTCCACTGGCCAACTCTAGCCGAATGAATATGACTTATTTGGGCTGAATGTGAATATTTGCCTTGATAAGCAAATGGGCTATATTGACCTTCCTTTTAGGCTCACACAAATTTCAGTTTCATTGTTGACAAAATAAAAACAATGTTATCGGATGCTTTTTCTCGTTTTGACTTCTGAATACTAGTCAACGAAGAAAATATAAATTTATTTTCCAAAAAAATTCTCACACTGGATGATCAATTACTCTTATGAATAATATTTAAAATATCGTAAAGTAAAATAGCTAATGAATGATGAGGTACTACTTCATAAAGATCTACAAGCAAACTGAAGCAAGTAGAGAGAAAGAGGCAAAGTGCAACAGTAAGATCTCAAAGAAGTCAACGCCTTAATTACCTTTATAGAGAAGAAGTGGCAAGATGAGATTGTTGCGGGTCACGAAATTCGAAGCCGACCACGTTCTTAGTTTTATTTTACCAAATTTTAATTTGACTCCAATCACCCACCTTTTCATTTTTGCAAGCTATATGTATATTTTTAATTCAAAAATAAATACATATTTAAATTAACATTCCTGGCCATACTTTAGGCGTAGATCCACCACTTTTTTTTTTTATCTTTCCAACTAAATCTCATATATTGTACAATAAGACCTTTCAAGTTGAACTAATTTGACTTATTTTTGTTGAAAGATTGTAGGTAATGAATATGATAATTGCATGATAGTCTAAATTTTATTTTTGCATTCTAATGGATGACAGGTTTTGATAATTCACGAATTAAACATAAGTATAGTGTACTATTCAACTCTGAAAAACTCGAAATTCGAAATTCATATTCTGGTTTTGGAGATTTGAATTAAAAATAACTATAGTAATAGTGAATATGAATTCATATTAGATGATTTTTTTTTTCATGTATTGAGTACTGACCAACTATAATTAGGCTGAATGCACTTTCGTACTCAGATATTTACTACTAATTAGACTCATCTTATTGTATTATTCTATCTATAAACAAAAAAGGATTATTCATGAAATAAATCAGATGCTATGTTACTGAACATATATAAATTGAATATCACACATAAAAATGGCCGAGTCCACCACTATTATATTAATAAATAAATAGAAAATTACATGATAACTGGCGTGAAATACTGAAGCACTACACTTGCTTCGTTTACAAACTCAACTTTGATTTGAACCTCACGTTCCTTAAGCTTCTCTAAAGCTCTTTTTTGATTCCCCATAACAACTAAAAACCCAAATGCGTTTCTTCTAAGGTAAAAATTTCATCTTTTATTTAGTTTCCTCTTCTTCGCTCCTCTGTTTCAACAATCTCAGCTCCATTGAAGGAGGAAGATGAAATATTCTCCGAGATCGGAAGGCAAAAAATTCATCATCCCTTCTTTCTTCTTCATCATAGCTCTCTGTGTGTTAGCTTTCATCAACGAGATCAGATTCGACAGTTTATTGAGTTTCGGACGATGTGCTTTGTCTAATGTTCCGACGAATAACGGTTCATCGGAGACTCCATTGTTGTCTTCTTCTTCTTCTTCTTCAGATGATGATGAAATAAGGATTCTTATCGGAATTCTTACACTTCCCGATCAATACCCACGTCGGCATTTTCTCCGGATGATCTACGGGACACAGGCTATTCCCGACGGCGTTAAGATCGACGTGAAGTTCGTGTTCTGTAATCTGACTAAAGAAGACCAGAAAGTGCTTGTCGCTTTGGAGATCATGCGTTATGACGACATCATCATACTCAATTGCAATGAGAATATGAACAAAGGTAATCGGTTTTCTCGGTTTGAAGTCAATTTCGGTTCGGTTTTATTTGAATTTGATTTATTCATCTTCATTTGATGGGGAAATTTACCAAATTCGATCAATACGTGCACCTATTCTGGTTTGGTTATAGTTTGGTACACATAGGCTTGGCTTCGGTTTGGAACTTTTTACGAAATAACTTGAGTAGTGTTTGGTTTCGGTCGGTCCACTGTGATTGGTACAGTTCGATTTAGTGGGATTTAAATTTTAACAAATTTGTTTTTTTTCTTCGATAACCCACATACACACACACTCTCACATGATGAATACACACACACATACACTATTACAAACAATTAAGCTACAAATCATCGTAGCAAAATTTGTAATTTATCTAAATGATTTCCAATAACAGCTAGGTTCGTTACGATTTGCTAGGATAGAATTTAACCTAAACTCAAATTGTAATATTTTTTTTCAACTAATTCAATTCTTCCAAATATCTACAGGCAAGACCTACACTTACTTCTCAAGCTTACCAGACCTATTCAACGAAACCGATTCGCAAAACCCACCGTACCATTACGTAATGAAAGCAGACGACGACACATACATAAGACTAGAAAGCCTCGTCGCATCTTTAAGACCATTACCTCGAGAAGATCTCTACTACGGCTACGTCATTCCATGTCCAAGCATGGACCCGTTCGTACATTACATGTCAGGAATGGGTTACTTGGTCTCGTGGGACATCGCTGTTTGGCTCAAAGACTCGGAGATTCCAAAGAAACATCTAGAAGGTCCTGAAGACAAAGTGTTTGGCGATTGGATTCGAGAAGGAAGACGAGGAAAAAACCGGTTTAACGCTAAGTGGTCCATGTATAACTTCCCCGAGCCACCGACTAGGTGCACACATGAGCTTTGGCCTGATACTATTGCTGTTCATTTGCTGAAGAACCAAGAGAAGTGGATACGGACGTTGAACTATTTCAATGTTACTAGCAATCTTAAGCCTTCTAAATTATACCACATACCGTAGATAGTTTTTTCTTTTTTTTTCTCTTTTCAGGTTATTATTTATTTATACGTAAACTGTTTTTTTAATAAATTTGGTTTTATGATCGTTAGTGTCCCTTAATAATCGTTTTTCCTTTGGGGATGGGATGTGTAAGTGTAACTACTTAAGGATTTTGTTCAGACATGCTCGATAGTCAATAGAAGATTCGTGGACTTTTTTTTATTTATGGTGGCCCATAAAGCAATGTTCAACCTCTATAAATTCACTTTTTTTATTTATGGTGGCCCATTACGGTGGTTATACTTATAGTTATATGAAAATAGCTCTCATTTTTCTGTTCTTTTTCTGCTGTTACACATTTTATACTAGCTCATTTCGTAAGCTTGACTATTTTCTTTGCCTTTTACTATGATAAAATTGGATGTTTTTGTTTTGTCCTCTTAGTCTAACCTTAATTAAATTATTGCTTTTATCACGGTACAATAATTTTGAAGGGAAAAAATATAAAATTATTTGTCAAATGCAACATACTTTAGGGGTATTATCGTCATTCGAAGCAGCTGAAGAAAGAAGCGAAGCGGCTTGGGCGTGAATGGGCCTCACGAAGGTGGATACAACTGTGCCTGTGACAGAAGTTATATCACAGACGAATTAGCAAAAAGCTTTTCGAGCTCGTGACCTACGAACGTCAACGACAAGTAACATTATCATTGCTAATCTAGAGCGTTGGCCTCTCCCTTCTCTTTGAGTTTATCGAGGCCTTTTTTTTACTGCTATAGTGCTTACTGTCTTTTATATTCAAAGGAAGAAGCCGCCGTCGCCTGATTCCATCATCGAGGCGACGGAGCAGTTAGGGTTTATCAGGCGACTGGGAAAGCGTTCGTTGATTCTATTCGTCGATCTTCCATTTGCGTAAGGAATCTTTGCTCTTATTCTCTTGCTGATGTTAGTTTGATTCTTCTCGGTGGATACTCGTGTAGAAACCGACGTTGAGGTCCTGATATTTGGTGAATTCATTTTGGACTAGTGTTGAATTAGTGTATCGTGATTGCGTGAAAGGGAAATGATAGATTCTGGAGATTGGCTTTTGATCGATTTGATTCTCTCGATCCGTTTCCTCACCATTTTTGTTGTGTGTATGTGTGTATTAGCTTCCTGTAATTGAGGTCGTTCTTATTCTGATTACTTTCGTTGTGAATTGGTTTCAGCCTTTATAGTTTAGATTATGAACTTAACAGAGACTTTTTTTTTTCCCTCATTCGAATGTTGATATTGTCTATTATGCATAGGCATGAGCTTTCTGCTGCAGCCTTAATTGTGTAAAGACTTATGTGATCAGATTTTAGCGATAGAGGCACTAAATTGTAGGCATTTGAAGATTTTGATGTATTTTCAACAGAACTTTAAACTTTTAATTGGTTGATTAATTCAGAGCAAAACTGGTGATTTGCCTTTGATATTCATATGCTTTGCTTGTGAATGGTCAGTGTTGCTGCGTTTCTTTTGTACACCTGAAGATGGGAAGCAGTCCAGCTCCATTTCCCGACATTGGCAAGAAAGCCAAAGGTAAATTAGCAATTTTCTGGACATTGCTTTGTTTGCGATTCTGATTGTTTCTCAGTGTTGGCCAATTATTTGACTATTTGAAAATCTGCAGATCTTCTAAACAAGGATTACATTTTCGACAAAAAGTTTATTCTGACAATGCCGAGTGCCACAGGAACGGTATGTTGGATATCAATTGAATCCTTTTAACGTGAATAGATTCAATGCATCTTATAGAAAAACATAGTTTGCTTATACGACCCGTTGAATATTATCATGCCTACAAATATAGAATCTGTGCTGCTACATGTATTTCTGGACCAAAGCTAGGATACATACCGTAAAATGCGTTTTTTTCAGAGAATCAATCAACTTAAGTTAACATGGGTGTGCTTAAGAATACCTGCCTTGCATGCTTTTCGTAAATTGGGTGCAGTATTTCGTAGAAGCATGATCTTTGATAGTTAATATATCCAGCTATAGTAAATACTCTGGTTTGCAAACATGGTTTTTGATGTATCATAATGAATTTTTCTTTTTAACAGGAACTGGTGGCTACAGGTTTTAAGAAAGATGATTTATTTTTTGGCGACATAAGCACAGCGTATAAAGGTCAAAACACCATTGTTGATATGAGATTCGACAGCCGCTCAAGTGTAAGGAAAATATCTGCAGTGACACATGCTTTCTAATCTTCTTTTGCACCTTAACTGTCCTAAACCATATTACCGAAACATATTTATGCAGGTGTCGACGAAAGTTACTGTCAAAAATCTAATCCCATCTGCTAAAGCTGTTATCAGCTTCAATATACCTGATCACAAGTCTGGCAAGGTCGGTGCATATCCCATATGAGAAAACGACCTGTTTCCGTACTCTTGAGTCTTGACTCTTGACCAGTTTCTTTTGCTATATTTCAGTTGGACGTGCAATATGTTCATCCTCATGCTACGCTCAATTCCAGCATTGGCCTCAACCCAACTCCTCTGCTAGATCTATCAGCAACTATCGGAAGCCAGACTGTTTGCCTTGGTGGTGAAGTTGGTTTCGACACAGCTTCGTCGTCACTAACCAAGTACAACGCCGGATTCAGTCTCAACAAGCCAGACTTCTCCGCTGCGCTCATGCTGTAAGGAACTACAACACGATGCTCTCCAATTTTTCAATCTAGTTTCAGGTTTTTGGGCTTTTTATGGAACTGAAATGACTGTTAATTTTGTAGAGAAGATAAAGGGGAGAGCCTGAGAGCTACTTACGTCCACACGGTGAACCCAACCACATCCGTTGGTGCAGAACTGATCCGTCGCTTCTCGAATGATGATAACAACAGCTTCACCATCGGAAGCTGTCACTCAGTGGATCCATTCACAACGGTGAAGGCGAGATTCTCAATCAGCGGGAAAGCAGGGATGGTGGTACAGAGAGAATGGAGACCAAAGTCGCTTATAACTTTCTCAGCTGAGTGTGACTCAAAGGCTGTGAACTCTTCACCGAGGTATGGTCTGGCTCTCGCCCTCAAACCATAGAAGAAGAAAGAGCTCTTCTCAGTTTGGAACACAAATTATATAACTATTCATTTTTTTGTTGCTAAAAACAAAACCTCCCACCAAACGAAGGTTTGTAGGGTTATAAAAATCACACTTGCATGAATTTTTTGTTTTTCATTTTGATGTGATGTGAATGAAAGGGAGTGAGAAAACCCGATTTTTTTTAGAGATGGAAACATGTTTTTGTTTCTTTAGGTAATATACAGCTGTGGCTGAGATCCACGTTCAGTTGCTACATGTCACGACTTGTTTGGGTACTTTATAATCTGAGAGTTGAAATGGGAGAAACGAAGAAACAACCAAAGAAAACAAAATGAACAGAAAGTTAAAAAAAAACCTTTTTTAAAATCATTTAATATGCGTGTTACAGTGGGTTCTTGTAAATTTGGAAAGATTTATGTTAAATATAGTAAAATTTAGTGGTTGATTAGTTAGGATGTAGCTATAGATTAACTGCAACTATCAACAATAAAAATACTTGTTATTGTGCATTCATTAAATCACCAACCATAGAATTTTCATACTCGATAAAGATTTTGTTAGTAATTGTAATGAATGCATAATGGCATGTTGCTTCAATGCTGCCTGGTACATGTGCATTCCAAAAAAAGAAGTAATAATGAATATGCAAAACTTCACATGAAAAAGATCTCTCTTGTATGGGCATGTGAGTGTATGTATGTGTATGTGTGTGTGTGTTTACCTTACAATCCCAGCCACTACAGTATTTTGGAGATACTAGTAAAACTCACGAAAATAACCATGTTCACTCGACAAAAACATATTTGAGAAACCAAAATTTGCAGCTCGAAGTGACATTTACGAGTCTATTTTCACTAGTGCGGTTAGATTGATAGTCCGCCAAATTTTAGCATTTTACACAAGAGAGTGTACTTCCATCATGCAAAGTAACATCAGCCTGTAATTTAAAAACGCTAAAATTCCATAGCATGCAACTCAAAACCCCAAGAGTGCTTAAACATATTTCATCAATGTAACTCACTACATATAACTCAATCTTAGTAGAAGTTAGTATCATACCCATCAGCGATTCAGCATCGGTTATGGTTCCTGAACCTCTAGGCTCTCTAGCCTCTCCCCTATAAATCTTTTTTTTTTTTTTTTTTTTTTTTGCTATTGTATAAATCTCACATCTACACTTAGAAAAATTCTAAAATCATAGAAGAAATGAAATCTAAAAGGAAAAGGAAGAAATGAAACGTAGCTATCTCTCCCAAAGTATTTCATTTGGAGTGGTTACCTTTACATTGACGTCGTGAAAAAGAGATGTGCTCACGAGAATTCGCCATCTCTTACCATTTTGGACTTACCATATTGACAAAGTATTGAACCGCTAGTAAACCTTTGGTATTAAAGCAGAAATTCAACAAACGTTACATTTTGGAAGGAAGACAATGTCATTTGATTTTTTTTTTTTTCATCCACTTCATATATGAAATTATAAGGTATTTCTTGGCCATGTGAAAAAAGACGAAAACAAAATGCAAAATCCCAAATAAATCTTGACTGTAAATCACTTAAATCCTCCAACCAACTCCATTAATAATAGTCAATAACTCAAAGAAAAACTCCAAAACCCAATTTTGTTTTTTCTTATTTCTCCTCATTTCTACACTTGTTCTCTTCTAATGGCCCCCACCTTAGCCTCTTTCACCATCACCAGGCTAATATAGCTTTTCATTTTTCAAAGCTTCTGCCTTTTCATTTTCTTTTCTCTATAAAGTTTTCTTTACAAAATTTGTCAAACTCTCCCGTTTATAAATTGAGAGAGACCCATCTCTTCTCCCTTCTTGATCTCTCAAAGGTTTCACTTTTTTTCTTCTCTCTCAAGTTTTCCTCTTCTTCTCTCACCTTGATTCCAGCCGTAAAGTTCACACCTTTTCTCAAAAATCCTCTGTTTTCTCTTCTTCCTTTTAAGCTTTTCTCTCTCTCTCTCTCTCTGCTTTAGTCACAAAAGTATGAAAGAGTATTGGACATCACTAGCTTCGCTTCTCGGCGTCTTAGCTTTCTGTCAGAGCTTAATGCAATCAATTTTCCCGCCGGAGCTCCGTTTCGCCTTCCTCAAATTCTTCAACCGAATCTTCCACCTCTTCTCTTCTTACTGCTACTTCGACATAACGGAGATTGACGGCGTTAACACCAACGAGCTCTACAACGCCGTTCAGCTTTACCTCAGCTCCTCCGTTTCCATCGCCGGAAACCGTCTAAGCCTCACCCGCGCCGTTAACTCCTCCTCCATCACTTTCGGTCTCTCAAACAACGACTCCATCGTCGACGCCTTCAACGGCGTCACCGTTCTCTGGGAACACGTCGTCACTCAACGGCAGACTCAGACTTTCGCCTGGAGACCTTTACCGGAGGAGAAACGCGGGTTCACACTCCGAATCAAGAAGAAAGACAAAACCTTGATCCTCAATTCCTATCTGGACTACATCATGGAGAGAGCCAGCGAGATCCGCCGGAAAAACCAGGACCGGTTGCTTTACACCAACTCTCGAGGCGGGTCTTTAGATTCGAGAGGGCATCCATGGGAATCCGTTCCTTTCAAGCACCCGAGCACTTTCGAGACTCTTGCCATGGATCCGGTTAAGAAGCAACAGATCATGGATGATCTTAAGGATTTCGCTGAAGGTCAGATTTTTTACCAGAAAACGGGTCGGGCCTGGAAAAGAGGATACTTGCTTTACGGGCCTCCCGGTACCGGAAAATCGAGTATGATCGCAGCCATGGCGAATTATCTCGGCTACGACATTTACGATCTCGAGCTCACTGAGGTTCATAGCAACTCGGAATTGAGGAAGCTGCTGATGAAAACGAGCTCCAAGTCGATAATCGTAATCGAAGACATCGATTGTTCGATCAATCTGACGAATCGGAAGAAGAGCAGCAGTAGTAGTGGTAATGCGGTTTCGCAGCGGAGCTATTACGACCCGGAAACACGAAGCGGGTCGGGTTCTGGTTCGGGTGAAGAATCTGGTAATGGGAACACGATAACGTTGTCGGGTTTGTTGAATTTTACAGATGGGCTTTGGTCTTGCTGTGGAAGCGAGAGGATCTTTGTGTTCACGACGAATCATATCGAGAAGCTTGATCCTGCATTGCTCAGAAGCGGGAGGATGGATATGCATATATACATGAGTTACTGTAATTTCCCGTCGTTGAAGATTTTGCTGAAGAATTATTTGGGGTATGGGGAAGAAGATATAAGCGACGACGTTTTGAAGGAGATGGAGAGAGTGGTGGAGAAGGCGGAGATGACGCCTGCTGACGTGAGCGAGGCTTTGATCAAGAATCGGAGGGATAAGGAGAAGGCGATTAGGGAGCTGTTGGAGGATTTGAAGAGTAGAGGGGAGAGAAATGTGAAAGATGGGAAATTGAGGGGTCAAAGTGGAAATCTGACGGAGTTGGAGATTGTGGAGGAAGAAGAGAAGAGGGCTATAGATAGTCAAAATGAAGATGAGGATATTAATGATGAAGAAGAAATTGAGCTTGAGGACAATATTTGTAAAGACTAGAGAAGATTAAAATGTGTTATCGCTGGTTTTTTTTTTTTTTTTTTTGCAAGTTTACAATATAAACAAAATGGTATAAGTTTGTTATATATATACTTCTTTTTTTTTTTCTATTTGTTATAGGGTTAAATTTCTTAGTTTTTACTTTCATTTGGTTGTTGAAGTAGGTGAAGCTGTGAAGGAGAATGCATAAGTTGAATTATAAAGGTTTAACTAAATGAAAGTGAAAGGTTAAAAAGGTGGTCAAAAAGGCAAGTTGCTGATGAGGATTTTGTATGTGGGGAATGGGAATTGCAAAAGGTGGATCCATCTCATTAGGTACCATTAGCATTACTAACTACATAAAATAATAGTGGACCAAATATCTTGTCAAATTATAACCATGTGTGTTCAATAATTAGATAATTATGTGTATAAATTATGCATTTTGCATATACAGTCACACATCTACGATTATACTGATTGTTCGTTGTAGATCCGTTATCATATCATGTTACATACGTACATTACATCATCCGAATTGTTATTATTCAGTTTTCCCATGATTATGAGATATTGAACCAAAACTTAAACTAACCACGGAGATTTATAGAAGTAGGCATTTTTCTTCATTTTAAGATTTGAACTATAGTAGGAGAATTCAAAATTTTGCACTATGCTAGGAAAATTCAAAGTTTTGAACTAATGTTAAATATACTATAATATCCGAAACAAGCAACTCCAAATATTAGAAGTCTCTATGGTCTTAGTTCAATATCTTTGAAAATTCCGAATAAGGTTTGAAAATTCTATTCTAATATTTGAAATAGCCGGTCCAAAATATTCAAACCCCTAGACATTTTTATACATAAGTTATCTAGTCTCGAGGATTTTAATATCCAAAACACTCAAATCTCAGTTACTAAAATAATAAAAATTATAATAACTACTATTGTCTGTTATATATAAGAAAACGGACCAAACTGATTATCTTAGTATTCTAAATTCTAAATCCCTAATACACATGATTCTCGGATTAAGACGATATTGGACACTTTAACTTTTTTCAGACATCTTGCTACCTTCGTGTATAGCATGCTCTTGCCATTTATTAATACTGCGATTTTGGGTGCTTTTGTGTGGTGATAATATAGCTGTCATAAATTAGGTATAAAAGTTTAGAATCATCCTTCCATTATAATATTATGCGTACGTTCTTATATGTCAATGAACGCTCAAATTATACGGTCTTTTAATAAAATGTGAAGTGATAAAAGACTTAAAGTTGACGATTTGGTAGGCCAAGTTGCTCGAAAACTCTTTTTCCGTCTCTTTGTGTTTGTGTTTAGGATCCCACAGCTTTGTACTTACTTTTAATTTTAAAAATGAATTCAGTTATTAATCATTTGATTTATTATAATAAACTTGGCCACTAGACATATCACTCCTCTACAATAAGACACAAATAGGTAAATTATTGTTGATATTATTTTGGTAAACCGTAGTTAGGACGGCTTGTAATTGGTGCAATAAGCAATTCCCGCATGGCATTATTATTTTAAATAAAGAATTGTCATAGTGGATATATGACATAAGAATGACATGTTTGAAGGATTTAATTCGGCTGGTATGGTGCTAAATTAATATTTTTAAACTTTGACATACTCAAATTAAATTGTATATGACAACTTTAATGCATCATACATTGGCTGGAGAATTTTTTTTATGCTACGAATCATGTAAAGTTAATTCCACTTTTAAAATAAAAGTGATGTTAATATTAAAGCTAAACAAAATGTGCTTACATATTTAGAAAGAAACGAAATGTAAATCATCAATGCCGTTAGGGCCCATTAACGATGATGCCTTATTGTGCTAAGGCCTCAAAACCATAATATAGTAGTAGTATTAGCGAATTTCAGCCTCTATGATTTTTCTTCTTTTTACGTAAACTTATCCACGCACAGCAGATTATGATACGATTGTAGTATTATCACAAAAGGCACTATGCTATTTCGAAAATGTTTGAGCTATTAGCTACAGGTATTTGCAAATGATTTAACGACTTTTTGCGAAGTTATGTTTTGATAAACTAAACAGTGTATTCATTATTATTTCAATGATAAAATATCAAAATGATTTAACGACTTTTTGCGAAGTTATGTTTTGATAAACTTAACATTGTATTCATTATTATTTCAATGATAAAATATCAAAAACTAAATTGGATAAAACCGGATAACATAACAATAAGGAGATGTCAAAGATACACAAGTACACAAAACCTTACATGACACAAAACAAAAAAAAAAGAATTAGCTTCCGACAAAGGCCAAGCTCAAAAAACATTTTGAGAAATTTATAAACAAAATAAAACTCTTTTCATAGAGAAATATGATCAATTGCACATATAGACTCCTGTTTCGTACCTGTGATCTACCTCATAGAAATCCGTATTTCCCTCAGCAGCTGCACGTAGACTGATACCAGACAACGAACTACTCCCCTGAACCGAGAATTTCACATAGCAGATGATTTCTGGTTCCTCCTCGCCGTTCTCTGAATCGATAGGCATCCGCGCTCTTAGTCTCCCGGGACTTCCATTAAGAGGAATCTCAGGGATTTGCCATTTTAGTTCTCGATCGGTTCTGTTTAGTATCGCTTTAGGTGAAACCTTAAGCAATGTGGGATCAACGGGGAGTTTCAGAATAAAGTCGACGTTTTTCAGAGGCTGAGGTAGTTCAGGGCTTGAGACGTATTGTATCATTAGTGAGAGTAAAGTCCCGCTGATTCGTTTCACCATTCGGACTCTAAGAGGCAACGGGGTTAACTTAGGCTGCAAGCTATACTTCAGGATAGGGATTGGTTCTTCCGATGGAGCGGTTCTCACGTGAAACAAACCGTTCCCTAAGCTACTGATCCGAGAACCCTGCATAGCGAATCTCTTAACCGCACTAGTACCTTCAACACGGAATGAGAACTCGGTTTCTTTCTCTTCACCGGAGCCTTTTGGTGGCATTGTTTTCAGATAGATCACACCCATTAGTCCTACTCTAGCAAGCAAGGATTCTCTAAACTCGGTTCTAATTTCCTCAGAGATATGCATTTCAGGACCTTTCATCTCAGGCTTTTTAACTAGGTTATCGAGATTACCTCCCGCTCCATCTTTGCCTTCAATTGCTTTAGGATCACTGGTGTGCAACAGCTCGAGCCCGCCGAGTCCTTCTTTCTTTTGTATCTTCTTCGGTCCCATAAACTCTGAAGGATCTAATCCACCTCCCCAAGCATCACTGAACGATTCAAAAGTTTCTCCAATCGTAGCCTGTTCGTTGCTGAACTCAATCCCACCGTATTCCCCTTCGAATCCTTCCACATTGATGTGCGTAGACTGTGTTGCTTCCGCTGGAGGCAGTGTCGTCACTTCGAGTCCAGCCAGTGCCAAAGTCAAGTCCGTTGAGGAAGGATCGTTGGTCTTCTTGAACCCACCCACGAGTTCTTTCTCCTTGTTGATCGTTTCACTAGCCGCGAAAGGATCCTTGTTCTCCGGTTCCGGTTCTTCCTTCAATTGCTCTGATTCTTGCACCACTGGAGCCAGACTCGCCGCTATTTCTTCGCCGGCGGCGATTGTCTCTGGAGGCAATTCGAACCTTGCATTGGAGAACGCGTGCACAGAAGCTTGATGCTCCGCTGCGTGCGATTCCATCGACATCCAGCTATCTGCTCCTCGGATCTTATTCTCTGTGTCGAGCGCCGAGTGTACCATCTTCGCGATTCCATCTCCGTGCATAGCACCAAGCATCGCGGCGAGACGGATGTTGCTGACACCGCGCAAGACGATGTCAAGCGCCATGTAAACCTCCGCATACTTGCGTCCAAGCTTCTCAGGAGTCACATCAACTCCACGGCAAGCGGTGACAATGACGCTAACCGCCTGATTCACGATGTGAATACACTCAAAGACATTGATCGAGTTGTCGTGATCCGCGACGGTGACGCCGAGGATATAGATCGAGTTCACTAGTCGATAAACCACCCGATACCTGCTCTCCACACCAACAATCACCTGTCCGTTCGAAGCAGCTAGCGGATCGTCACCGACGAATTCCGCCGCCGTGGCATCGTCGGCATCCGCCGCGGATGAAGACGAAGAAGCTTGTTTATGTTTCGGATTCGATTGCTGCTGCTGCGGCTTCGAGGAAGCGAATGCCTGACGCGTTTGACGGAAATAAGAGAGAGCGATTAAGGCTCGTGCCGGCGGAAACCACTCTCTGGTTTGGAGCAAGATGTCAGATCCATTTGCCGGTTGCAGAGCTAGGGCTAAGCACGACATGATCGCAATTCGAATTTGATCTGGAAGTTTCTACAACTAGCGAATGCTCGATCTCGATGTAGCCTTGATTCAGTTAATCATTCAGAGCACCATCGGATGAAAATCGATCAGATCTGAGAAGGATCGCCGAAGATGAAAAACGAAAAAGGGACAGAGAGAGGGATCTTCGCTGTGAAGAGTGATATTCATGAAACGGTATCGTTTGCCACATTACTCTTTGTCTTAACTTAATGGGCTTAAAGCTGAGGTTTGAATATAAGAAAGCCCAATTAAAAATGAAACGACGCCGTTTTAACCATCTTTTTGAATTTTGTGGCGCTTATAATTTTCGAGGAATCGATGGCTTTTTGGCGGTGAGATGCAAAATGGGAAAATGAAACCGCAGAGTCTCGTCCAACAATCGCCGACGAACCGCAAGCTAACCACCGGCTGCGAAACAATCGACGGATGTCTTCGCGGAGGATTTCCCTGCGATTCTCTTACGGAAATCGTGGCGGAGAGCGGCTGCGGAAAAACACAACTCTGCCTTCAGCTCTCGCTCTGTGCCCAACTCCCGATTTCAAACGGCGGGCTCGACGGTTCTGCTCTTTATCTCCATTCCGAGTTTCCGTTTCCATTTCGCCGCCTTCATCAGCTTTCACGCTCGTTTCATCTATCGAACCCTGGTATTTACGCGGATCACAATGATAACCCGTGTGATCATGTGTTCGTACAAAACGTTCATTCTGTAGACCACCTGTTCGACATAATGCCTAAGATAGATGCTTTTGCTCGGAATTCGAAAAATAGGTTTCCTTTGAAGCTGATTATACTTGATTCTGTGGCGGCGTTGTTCAGATCGGAATTTGATAACACCCCGTCTGATCTCAGGAAGAGAGCTTCTTTGTTTTTCAAGATATCAGGGAAGTTGAAGCAGTTGGCAAATAAGTTTGATTTGGCTGTGGTGATTACGAATCAGGTCACTGATTTCGTGGAATCTTCTGATGGGTTAAGTGGGTTGAGGGTTGGGAATTTGAGGTATTTGTGTTCGTCTGGGAGACGAGTTGTTCCTGCTTTGGGGTTGGCTTGGGCTAATTGTGTGAACTCCAGATTTTTCATCTCAAGAAGTGATGATACTATCTGCAAAGAGAGAAGCGAAAAAGAAAGAGCTCAGAGACGTCTTGACATTGTTTTTTCACCTCATTTGCCTGGTTCTTCTTGCGAGTTCATGATCACACGAGAGGGGATTTGTGGGGTTTAGTTTAGGTGATCCATGCTGCTATGCTGGATATTATTTTTTTTATTCGAAGAATCACGAGTTCTTGGATTTTTTTAGCAATATTTATTGGATTCCAGAGGGATAGGGATCTGAGAGATGGGTTGCAGCAAGCCAGGTTCTCTCATATTTCTCCTCTTGTTTAGATATGATATATAAAATCTCTTCTTTTGCTTGTCTTTAGTTTATAATCATTCTATATTCAATTCCTCATGCTATTGCTCTCTGTAAGATTCATATATATTTACTTTCAAAGTCTTAGGCTTTTGATGATCTTGATAATGAAGGGAATCCTGTATTTTTTTTCTCCCAAGTGTACGGCATGCTTCTCACTTAGTTATCTGATTTTCTTTCCTTGGCATAACTGGATTTCCCATTTGATTTGCCATCTTCAAATACTTCATTTCTTGTGTAAATTGCTGAAGTAACTGTTATGTGGCTGTAATATCTTTATGGAACTGGTAGGGTTAATCATTCTGGTTGATTTAGTTTCATATGAACTAAGCAAATTCAGTATTTATCAAATTAGTTGTCTAAAATTTATCCGTTCTAACTAACGAGAAAATGACTACAATTACAAACTGTATTGTAAAGGTAATGCATAACTTAAGGAGTGCATAAATAATATACCTCGTTGTCTTCTTTGACTTATTCAGATTGAGTTAAGTAGAAACCATTGAAACAAGAGATCTCTTCCTATCGTTAACCCTTTGATTCTTTTCTGTTTCATAGAATGGCAGAGAGATGACTGAGGAGTCCATGGAGACGATGTTTCTGTGAATCAGGAATGGCAGTTCGAGAACATCAAATCGACGTTTGATCCTAGACAAGAATGAGAGTTTCAGGCTAAGGCTGCGGCTAGAACGATTGTTGAATCATCTTTGGGACACGACAATAAAGTTTGGATATTTATGCTGTATACGTATGTAATGATGCTTTAGGTCCTTTGCTGGCCAGGAGAGAATGTTGTTGATAGAGCAGAGAATCGTACTTCGGGGTCTGTTACGTTGAGCAAAATACAGTACTGTAAATGTTTTGATTTCTTTTGTAGCTTTGTGTAAATGATTAACTACTCGGAGAAAGGTAAATACGAACGACTTAACCGGTCATAACCTTATCTACTGCCGTCAACCGGTCAGTAAACCATAAATTTCATTCAGAAACCAAGAGGAAGAACAACATCCGAAACTCTCAATGTATCAAATAATATATCAAGAATTACCTCCCTAAAAGCCGTTTTAAATGCACAACTAATCAAATTTGCAAGGGATAAGCATGTAAAAACTTATTTGGAGAAAAACACCAGATTCGGTATGAACTGGTTAGCATCACTTCTTTGAACCGGTCGCCTCTTCGAATTCGGCTTCAGGCGTCTGCTCAGTCCCACTTGCACCATCACCAGCGCTCCCAGAGGATCCCGATCCTTTAGACATGTGTTCTCCGATCTTTGACACTGCCTTGTTCGCAGCTTCAAGCTTAGCCTTAATGTCCTCAATTTCTTCACCAGCCATTGCTGTCCTGAGATCAGACACTGCAGTTTCGATCTCAGAGGCAATCTCAGCAGGAATCTTCTCTCTGTATTCATTCAGGCTCTTCTCAACGCTGTAGATGGTAGTATCAGCACTGTTCCTAATGTCAATAAGTTGCTTCTTCTCCTGGTCCTTGTGTGCGTTAAGCTCAGCTTCTTTCACCATTCTGTTAATCTCATCGTCCGAGAGACCACCTGAAGATCTGATTGTGATCTGTTGCTCTTTAGCTGTTGCTTTGTCTTTGGCTGAGACAGTCACGATACCATTTGCATCAATGTCGAACGTAACTTCGATCTGTGGCATTCCTCTCGGAGAAGGTGGGATCCCAACGAGATCAAACTGTCCAAGCATCTTGTTGTCAGCAGCCATTTCACGCTCTCCCTGAAGAACTTTGATTCCCACTTGCATTTGGTTGTCTGCAGCTGTGGAGAAAACCTAAGAAGCAGGATCACAGACTTGGTCAGATCAATAAGTCTAAGATACAATCTGAAACTGTTATCTTTCTCAAGATTCATTCATTACCTGAGACTTCTTTGTGGGGATGGTGGTGTTTCGGTTGATCAACCTAGTGAAGACTCCACCAAGTGTTTCGATACCGAGTGAAAGAGGAGTCACATCCAAAAGAAGCAGCTCCTTGACATCACCACGGAGTATACCACCTTGAATAGCAGCTCCCATGGCAACCGCTTCATCAGGGTTCACACCTTTGCAAGGGCTCTTTCCAAAGATCTCAGAAACTATCTCTTGCACTTTGGGAACACGAGTCATCCCACCAACAAGAAGAACCTCGTCAACTTCTTTAACCGTGACGCCTGCATCCTTCAGGCAATTTTGGCAAGGGGATCTTGTTCTCTCAATCAACTTGCTGACCAGAGCTTCAAACTTTGACCTGGTTAAGGTTATGTTCAAGTGCTTCGCTCCAGATGCATCTGCGGTAATGAAAGGCAGATTAATTTCGGTCTGAGATGTCGAAGAAAGCTCGATCTTCGCCTTCTCTGCAGCTTCTCTCAGCCTCTGGAGGGCAAGCTTGTCCTTAGTCAGATCAATACTGTCTGTTCTTTTGAACTCATCAACCAAATACTCCAACAAAGTGTTGTCAAAGTCTTCTCCTCCCAAAAAAGTATCTCCATTTGTTGCTTTAACCTGATAAAAGAAAACCGTCATATAATATAAGTATAACCACACCAAATACGCAAATCAAGAAGAAAAACAAACAATAGCGTTACCTCAAAAACACCACTTGAGATTTCCAAGATGGAAACATCAAAGGTTCCACCTCCAAGATCGAAGACAGCTATAACACCCTCCTTATTGTTCATGCCATATGATAAAGCGGCAGCTGTTGGCTCGTTGATGATCCTCTGGACATCAAGACCGGCGATTTTCCCAGCATCCTTGGTGGCTTGTCTCTGCGCATCGTTGAAATAAGCAGGAACTGTAACAACAGCTTTTGTGATGGTCTTCCCGAGATAAGCCTCAGCGGTTTCTTTCATTTTGGTGAGAACATTAGCTCCAATCTGGCTGGGAGAAAACTTCTGACCATTAGCCTCGACCCAAGCATCTCCATTTGGCGCCTTGACGATCTTGTAAGGAACCATTTTCATCTCCTTCTGTGTCTGAGGATCCTCATAACGTCTCCCAATCAAACGCTTCGTACCGAACAACGTGTTTGCCGGATTCGTCACGGCCTGACGTTTAGCTGGTGTTCCAACAAGGAGCTCGCCCTTTTGGTTGATAGCAACCACTGATGGGGTGGTTCGAGCTCCTTCCGCATTCTCAATAACCCTAGGGGTCTGCAAATAAAACGAGATCAAAGTCAATACCTTTAGAATTGAGAATTCGATTGCTTCATAAAATGAATATCAGGATTGAAACTAAAACGGAGTTTAACCTTTCCTTCCATCACAGATACACAAGAATTGGTGGTACCCAAATCGATACCAATAACATCATTCCCCACAGGTCTCGAGCTGCATTTACATACAGAACAACACACAATACGAAAGGGTTAAGAATAACACATGAGGGGGGATAAATTGTTCATGCTATACCATAAAGTGAGTGAGAGGTTGAAGTTACCAGAAAGGTCTCGCCAAGTTGCCCAATTTTCCAATCAAAGACGTCTTTCCATTAGCGGAAATCTGCAGATTGAATAGTGATAGTGTAAGCTTGAACCCATATTTGTAAACCAACAATTAACAAAGTAGATCGATTTATGAAGGAATAAGAAAGAACAAAAAGTAGGCAGCTTAAAGCAATATAGATCGAAAACCCTGAAAATCGATTCCAAATACAACATAAAAACCCGGATTGAAAACCCTATGTAATTTCAAACCCTGATCGATTTCGGAGAAGTATCATCGATTTCAGATCCACAATTCAACTTCGAGCGTGATTTCTTAAGCGAACATTGAGATCAAGGGAAAGTACATACGGATCTATAAGCAGAGACGGAAACTGCGTACAGTTCACGGCGGCGAAGCGATCGTAGTAGCGCGACGGAGGCCATTTGGTGCTTGCGGAGCTTTTCGGGATCGAAGGGTTTAAGGTCGGGGATGAAAATGAACGTTTGAGCGCGTAGGGTTTAAGGGACCTTACGATGTTCACACTGCGAAATGACGTCTCTAACCAAAAGAAGAAAATTTCATCGGCTGGTTCAGTTTGACATTTGGACTTCTTCTATAACTTAACTGGGTACGTATCGTTATCCTAGTCCAACAATTCCACAGTGAGCGACATTTCTGCATTAAATGTGACTCGGCCCATTTATAAGACCCGGCCCATGACCTATGACACGGTACGCCGCCGTATGTACGTCATTCTAAGCGTATAACTAACTCCGATTAGATTCGATTCGATTCGTTGTCACTTAACTCGCTCCATGAAAGTAGAAACCATTATAGCTTCTCGAGTCAATATTCTTGCTTAGCAGGTTGTTTCCACAGAGATATCCAATCGTAGACCAGAGCAGAGATCCACCGGAATCGTACAGTTAAATGTCGACCCCAGCTGATATCGCCGTCACCGGAAGAGGATTGATCAGTCACGTCATCTTCGACATGGACGGGCTTCTTCTCGGTAATTTCGAAAAATTTGATCATCGATCTTTTCTCTGTAACGTCGCATTAGTGACAATATTCTCATTTAAAGTCCTGATTTTTAAGAGTGAGTACTCTAGTTTCCACTGGATCTAAATGTGTGTATGTTGGGAACACTTGTCGGGAAGTAGGATTAGATCTGATCTGGAATTGGACAATAGCTGTAAGAGTGTAAGGATTGTTGTTCTGTCTGTGTTTCAAATCCTCTCAGCTTCATTGGCTAAATCAATGCCTTGTGGTGTAGAAACAGAAAGTAGAAGATCATTGCTAATTTCTCTATTTTGTATCACAGTCTCACTGAAAAAGAGGGAAATTTAGACTTGTGCTCACCTATCTGAGGTTTAGTAAAAAGGTCTATATTTGGATTTTTGCAGACACGGAGAAGTTTTACACAGAGGTCCAGGAGATGATACTTGCTAGATTCAACAAAACGTTTGATTGGTCTCTAAAGGCTAAGATGATGGGTAGAAAAGCTATAGAAGCTGCGAGGATCTTTGTTGAAGAAAGTGGGATCAGTGACTCTCTTTCAGCTGAGGACTTCCTTGTCGAGAGGGAGTCTATGTTGCAAGACCTCTTCCCTACCAGTGAGCTAATGCCAGGTACAGCTCTTCTCTGCTTTCATGTGTTTGCACATAAGCCACATATATAGTTCACAGAGAACCAAATCCTCTTCCCTCTGTTTCAGGAGCTAGCAGACTCATCAAGCATCTCCATGAGAATAATATCCCAATATGTATTGCTACGGGGTAATCTCTTGTCTCCATATAAGCACATCTATTTGAGTGTGCATATTCATTTATTTTCAGCTTCTTTTATTTACATTGTTGAATATGCCTTTTCTTTTGTTTGTTTACGTTTGGGATGTATGGTTTGGTTGCAGTACTCACACACGTCACTTTGATTTGAAAACGCAAAGACACAAAGAGCTTTTCTCATTGATGCATCACATTGTTCGCGGTGATGATCCAGAGGTGAAGCAAGGAAAGCCTGCCCCAGACGGCTTTCTCGCTGCTGCTGGGAGATTTAAGGTAACTAAACAGGCACCTATCGATCTCCAAGATAAGACATATGATTTGGTTGTATCCTCCATTTCAAGTTTTTGAAGTAGATGTAAACTAATGTCTCCTCTTCTTCTGGATTCTTTAGGATGGTCCTGTGGATCCACAAAAGGTTCTGGTGTTTGAAGATGCTCCATCTGGAGTTCTTGCTGCTAAAAACGCCGGAATGTAAGTTGCTTCCTCTAAGTGGTTTCTGGATTCTCTCTTGTAAACCTAACAGATGAGCATTTAGTGGTTTAAGTTTCGGACCAAAACCAGGACAATTATGGATACTTGTATTGATTCTTTCTCTACAGGAACGTGGTGATGGTGCCGGATCCTAGACTAGATATCTCTCACCATGACGTTGCAGATCAAATCATAACTTCTCTACTCGATTTCAAACCAGAGGAATGGGGTTTGCCTCCATTTTCGGATTCAAACTAAACGATATACAAGATTATTTCAAGGTAAGGATGATAAAGAAGTCGAATCATGATGAATCATCATCGGTAAAGTTTGATTGTTTGTCTTATTGTATTTGTTTTTGGCGTTTACATGACAACGCCATGAGGGTTTTATGTCGTCAAGGGTGTTATAATGTTTGGCTATTGACGCCAAAATAGATGGTGACATGACAAGGGACCAAACAAAAAACTGCCTTAGCGTTTAAACAAAAAAAACTTGTACAAACTCTTACTCCCAAAGTCCTAATATTGGCTTATCTACTTTTGTTTTTGTCGGTAGCTGAACTGATTCCTTCATTATTATGGTTTCGAATCTCCCTTCTCTACGCATCACTAGCATGTGTCATTTACAACCTACACTTGATATTTTTAACGTTTTTAGGTTTTTTTTGCTTTTTTGATGTTTTCAGATTGAATAATATTATACATATTTAAAATCCGTAGACAAAACTTCATAAGATAGAGAGAGTATCTGATTCCGTTTAGACATATCGGGTTTTTAGCCATATCAGAGATAAGTTACCTCTTGTATTTTCTTTCAATTCGTCATTATGGCTAACACGATTAGTGACCGTAACGTTTTTTTTTTTTTAATTTCCTGTAAAGATAAGTGATGAAGAAGCAAAAACATCCGATGATAATTTTACAATAATGACATTGGGAATCACCGACATAGGCTGCTGCGACAAACATCTTCTGACATCGTTGGCAAAACGTTTATTTCTACTCTCACTCGTTTCTTCTAACCTTTCTTGTGTTCCCTTTCACCGGCAAGATTCGAATTCTCTTCGCTACGCGAACAAAGTCCCTGTGTCCTCACAAACCAATTTTTTGCATTAGCTTCCAAATGCTTATATATATGCATATACTGTATGCGAGAACAAAAAGTTGTTTAAAAATCAGAGAACCGTAAATGATTAACTACACCAAAACACTGAGAGATCTTGGTTTTTAAGAAAGAGTTTGTGATTGCTTTGCATGAACCCTTATTATATATATACGAGCATAGCCGTCTTTTATTACTAAATGGTGGATTCGAACATAATTCCATTTTATAAAAAAAATTTGAATATGTTTCTATATGTCGTTATTGAGATGCGTGTGCGATATGAACCAAAATAACTATAATTCAAGTACTTTTATAAAAGAAGAGATTAATGGGAGTTAAAGAGGAATATTACTTCCAACTAAGATCTCCGGCGAGAAGGAGATCGTTCTCCATGTCTTCATAAGCAATAAGATGGCCAGGAATGGCGTTGGAGAGATCAAAACTGTCCGTCTGTGAAGTCGAATCAGCCCCATCGACAAACATTTGCCTCAGTGCCAAAGCCAAGCTCTGATAACTCACATGCTTGTCTAGGCTAATACGTTGGCAGATCGAACGTCCCTCGAGCACAACCGTAACCGGAGGAACCACCGATGAAACTAGATCGTCGTCGACGTTGAGACCAAACCCTGTGAATGATCTCCCTGCGGCTCCAGAGCCAGAGTTGCTGTTAGGGTTTTTTGAAATAGGTGTCATGGTCGTGGTGTCGCGAGATTGTTGTGTGGTTGTATTCTCTTGATGAAGCCTTCCCTTCAATGAGTCTTGGCTTTGTGGCTCGAAAGTGTTCATATAGAGATTATGGTTTAAGAGTTTTTGTAACTTTGAGACTGCAAATGAACTTAAAGGAGTTCGTGTGATTTAATTATAACTTAGAGAGAGAGAGAGAGAGAGAGAGAGAGAGAGAGAGAGAGAGAGAGAGAGAGAGAGAGAGAGATGAGAGAGTGAGAATGGGACTGTGTTTGATTTGGTGTTGATGAGATTTTGGTGAAAGTGAATGTATGTACTTATAAATAGATAGGAGAGAAGGCGTAAGTTGTGTGGCAAAGGGTGTCTTTAATTTGGCATTTTACTTTTATTTCAATGTTTGTCTTAAAGTTTTCATTTAATTTCAAAGTACATCTGCTCTTTGGATCCCGTTAAACAAGGGTTCCGCGATTAATTATACTATTGAACGAACAATTAGATTCACGTAGAAATGTTGTCACTTATGCATTGGTATTAAATAATATTGTTAGATAACATTGTTAATCTATCACTGTTGGAGCAAGAGCTGTTATTGCTGAACCTAACATCATACTATTGATGATATAGATTTCTCCCATTTCAAAGTTAGTGAAACCTTAACTTTTTGCATCAATGATTTTCTTAAAACTATTAAACAAAAGATTTCTCCAATTTCAAAGTTAGTGAAACCTTAACTTTTTTTCATCAATGATTTTCTTAAAAATATTAAACAAATATCGATATTTCATTATGTGGTGCGCATATATGACATAAGAATGCTAAGAAAGGTTTACGTGGACAAAAAGCAAGCTGATGGGAAAACATAAGCGGTTAGGTGGAAGACAAACATTTTACAAGAGTCAAGTATAATACTAATGAGTATGAAGTAGAAAACTCCAAGTTTTATAAACTGATGATCAATTAAAAATATATGAATAGAAAAAAGAGATCTTGTAAATTGTAACGCATGGGCTGCGGAGACGACCGCGCTGCCGTCGCCGAACGCCTCGCTTCCTTGACTCGCGCCTGGTCGGGAGCTCCACGTCATCTCCTTTTCCATACATATTCACACACATACACACATTAATAATACATGAATACGCATATATATACCACATATATACATACACACGTACTTAATTTTCTTAGGGATTTGTTTTTTCTGTTGAATAGAAAATTAATGGTGGATCCAACAAGCAAGAGGTGAATAAGCTAAGCAAACCCCAAGAAGACATAAAAACGAAGCACAAGAAGCATATTTTCTTAAGTTTCAAGCAAACAATAATTTATTTCATGGTGATATATATTATACATTTTAATTTTAAACTCGGGATTCGATCGAAGACTCGAAGATCCGACATGGGAGGCATGGAAATGTTTAAAACTTACCTCGGTTTCATAGATACTCAATTTACAGTTGAACAACACATTTCATTTTATTTTAATCCTCTACTTAATCTCTCTCGATTTTTGTTTCTTTTTTTTCGATTCTACAGACATACGTTAATGTTTGCTTATTTCACTCCCCGATGGTAGTTATAGTTTTAATAAGAATCAAACAATCGCCCGCTGTTTTGGTCTGTTTCTAACCTAACAATGATAATCATTTTGTCATGTTCTATCTATATTTTAGCACAAGTCAAAACATAAATCATCTGGGCCTTACACACGAGCCCAATTAGATTTATGAGGCCTTATTGAAACAATGTGGGCCCATATCTTAACCGCTGGCGCGTCAAAATCACGTACAGGAGAACTATAACCGGTGGGTGTGTCCGCACTGGATCATAACCACTGCTAGAGCTCATTATCAACTAAAAATCTCTTTGATTATTACTGAAATAAAAAGCAAAGCGAAAAGGAGAGGTTTTAAAACCTTTTTCGCTCTTCTCCAGAAACATTCCGTTTCGGCATTTTGATTTTTGAATTTTTTTTTTTTCGCTCTCTCTGCTCGATTAGATCTGTTCCTGTGATTGATTCCGTTGCTCACGCCGTCGTTTTCCCGGAGGAGAGAGTTCGAAAATGTCGGCGACTGATGCTGAGTACGATCTCAAAGTAAGATTACTCTTTTCCGATGTGTGTTTTCTCTCTATATTTCTCTCGAAATTTCAAGCTCCTTGATTTCATTCCCTGGTTTCTGCTTCACAGGTTTCACCTCAGTCTGCGACGGGGTTAGTTTCCTTCGATTTCCCTAGGGTTTATTTTGATTAGCTTAAAATCTCCGATGAGTATTATTGATAGGGTTTCTCGATTTCGTGTTTTTGGATTTGAGAAGGGATTACACCTTCGCGAATGTGGACAACTTGGAGCATTGCACCAAGTACTTGAACCAGACGATGGTTACATTTGGATTTCCCGCCTCGCTCGATCTCTTTTCGAATGATCCGGTGGGTTTATTATTGACTCGTCTTAATCCCATTTCGGGAGCTTCTCGGGGTTTTTAATTAGGGTTTTTGTTGATCAGGTTTCCATCTCAAGGACCTGCAATTGTATGTACTCGTTGCTGCAGCAGCGACAGCGTGACTTAGAGTTTAGAGAATCTGCTAATGAGCAGAGGCAGAGGTTGATGTTCTCTTCCTTTTTTTCGATTTTTTTGCTTTACATTGCGTTTATTGAATTGTACTTAGGGGATTGACAATTGCTGTAGTGTTCGTTTAAAGCCACCTGATATTAGCCATTGTGTACTAGTGTTCGAGCTATGATAATAATATTCTTGCAGTTTTATTGGTTTCTGCTACTTTGATCTAGTTTGATGATTAAAAGTTTCTACTCTGATTCGTGGAAGGGTTTCCTTATGGTTCATGTTGCATTTTCCTTACTGTGTATAGACAACAATCGGATTTAGCTAGACTTGAAGCTAAAGTTGAGAGGCTTGATGCGCAACTCCAACACAAGGACAGGGAAATTGCAACAATTACCAGAACAGTGAGTCTTGTTAAGTTTCAGCTGATAATGGTTTCTGCTTTAGATTAGACTCTTGATTGAATATGGATTCACTCGTTGGACAGGAAGCCAAAAACACAGCAGCTTTGAAGTCGCAGATTGAAAAGCTGCAGCAGGAGAGAGATGAATTTCAAAGGATGGTGATCGGTAACCAGGTATGATTAGTTTAAGCTGCTTGGATTAACTACTTCATCTTGAGAATTTGTACTGATGGGTTGTCTACATTTGTTTATCTAATCTCTGAATAGCAAGTCAAAGCTCAACAGATACATGAAATGAAGAAAAAGGAAAAGGATTACATTAAATTGCAGGTTGTGTGTCTTCTCTCGTTGAAGTGGTTTTTTCTTTATCCTGATTGATCTTGCATTATGATAGCTAATTTTCTTTATTGTTTCTTCTCGCAGGAACGGTTGAATCAAGTGTTAATGGAAAAAAAGAAAGAATCAAAATCAGGAATGGAGATTATGAATTTGCTACAGGTCCTTTACTAGCATCTGGTTTTTGCAATCCTTAAATGATGAATGTGGGACTTTCCACTTGACTGATAATCTGATGTACCTAAATAGAAAGAAGGGAGGCAGCGTGGGACCTGGAATGGCAAGAAGACTGATACTGACTTCTACAAAAAGATAGTACGAGTCTTACTACAAAATCTAGAAACATCACGTCAGAGTTTCAAAAAGGCACTTCTTTAATTAATACTGTCCCTGCAGGTGGATGCATATGAAGCGAAAAACCAAGAACTAATGGCTGAGAACACTAATCTAAGAGCATTGCTTCGATCCATGCAGGTAAGCGCTCTTTCTTCATTTGCTTAACTTGAGTATATAAACATGTTTATTCATAAACAAAGTCTTTTACTTTGGTGTTGTTGCAGACAGATATGCGTGACTTCTTAAATGCTCCAAACGGGTCAGCTAATCCTTCATTGGCTGGCAACGAGAAACGCGAGACGGACCCTTCACAATCTCCTCTGGGTGGGAAGACGGTATGAGAAATCTTAGATAATCGAATGTTTCTTGTTTATAATCTTAGATCATTGAATGATTCTTAGAGTATTTTAGATAATTGGTTGCTCAGTATCTAACTAGTCGTTACACAGGACGTCTTTGATCTACCTTTCCGGATGGCTAGAGGTCAAATAGAAGAAAGTTTGCGCACTAAGATGGCTTCCATAAAGGTTTTCATTAGCGGCATTTCCATTTACGTAGTATCATCGATCTTTTATCAATGGCTAACTTATTAGCTCTGTTTCTTCTTATTTCCCTTGGGAACATAAAAAATTAAGGAACGCATGGTCCAGTTACAAGATGCACCTAAAGGAGCTTCAGTTACATCTGAAGCAACAGAAAGAGAGCTCGAACTCGAAGCTCAGCTTGTGGAGGCAAGAAGCATAATCCAAGAACAAGTAACTCTCTTCTCATCTTCTTTACTTACGGCTAAGAGGCTATTTTCCTCAGTCTCTAAGATTTTGATGTTTTGAGAGAAACACTTCATTTATTGGAAATGTCTTTTGATTTCTATTTAGAAACTGACAAGAGATATGATAATAATAAAACCTTAATTCTATTGCAGGAGTCAATAATGTCTCTAAACATCTCCCAAAACCAGAGCAGCAAAGGTATATTGTCCTATCTTTAAATCCTAGCACATAGTTTTGGTTTAAACAAAGATTTGATATAATGCGAAACAAATAACAATTATCAAACTCGTTGTTGCAGGGAATCTTTAGTTCCATCGATAGCTGAGGTATACTTTCTCTCCTTTATATCTCCGTAACATTCTTTCTTCTAAAAGATCCATGACTGTTGTTGCTTCATCTGTTTTTCTCTAATTTTGTATATTGTACTCACAGGAGCATGGAAATATCGGAACTGAGAAAACCATGGATCCAATAGTCTTAGTATTTGTATTCACCATCGCCAAACCTCTCTCCTTCAATATCTTAGTTTTGTATATTCAACTTTTAGCTGTGTCAGAATCAGATATCCTTTTCTCTTTTCGGTTATCAAAATCTTATTATTATATGTATAATCGGATCTAGAGTTTGTACAACAAAATCAAGATTCCTAGTGTGTGTGTGACATTATCTACTAATTATTAGTCACTACAAGGAACCGAACACTTGTATATTTTCGTAAAAGTGGGTTCAATTGAGGTAATTGCGTGATCATGCAAATGGGTTAAGGATCTAACGAGAACAGATTGGAGAAAATAATTTATTTTTAAGGAAATTGAGGAGTACGCAAAGTTTGGCGTCTCTTAAGGAATTAGTCATTACCTCTCACATGCGCATATGATATCAACCGTCCTAGGACTAGATTAACGTGCGCTTCATATCACAGTAAACAGCGATTAGTTTAATATCTAACTATACATATAAGGAAATCAAATATTTGTTGACTAATTCGAAACAAAACATAAAAAAGATTTCTTTGTAAAGCAGTTTAGTTTACCGCAGTATTTCCTTGGTGGGAAAATGTATACCATACATGTTTTCGATACTAGTGATTTTTTTCTTCTTTTGGCTAATTGAGTTTCTTTAATCGTGGTTTAAAATTAAATATTGGGTTTGCTATATAAATGCTGCAACAACTAAATGTGCGTTGGATCAGTATCGGTCTTATCCTTCAACAAAATCGATGAAACCACTAAACTACAACTATTTTGGTTAAAATTTGATGTTATTCTAAGTAACCTGGTTAATTATAATGATATATAAGAAATAAAATTCATCTTACTCACATTTTCCCGTGCACAAGCAAATCTTATTATTATACACTAATACACATTGTGACAAGTTTTGATAATATTGTATATAAAGTCAAACCCTTAACTATTAAATTGATTATACGTATACATTGTCAGATTCGTTACATGTTGTTGAGAAAGAAAAAAAAAATCCTTATATGTAACAGATTCACATAATCACCTTAATATCAATTTATATCCATTCTTACCTCTATTTTCTCAGGAAACAATTCTCTTTCCTTAATTACCTATAGACATATTTTCATCACATATCATCTCCATAAGTCTCACACATCGTCTATCTTCTCTATTTCAACAGGTAGAATAAAACATCTCACATATCTCCTCTTTCTAATCTCTATCTCTAAAACAAATATTTATCATGATGAATCAAGAACATAATAACACAGCTCCAACACCAAAAGCTTCGTTATTATTGATGGAAGATAATTTATGCAAAAGAAAATCGATATCAAGAAATTCATCGGTCGGAAGATCTTCTAGAATCTTCTACTATTACCACCATCTTAATCTCGACGACGGAGTTCCTTTCAAGTGGGAGATGCAGCCAGGAACTCCGATCAATCCTCCACCGGAAGAAACCGTTCCTCCTATCACTCCTCCTCCAGCGTTTCTCAGCCGAAGCCTCACTATACCCTCCCTCGGAGAATCTAATAAACATTCTCGTTTTCCGGCGAATCTTAAGCTCTGGAAATGGAAGAATCTTCGTAAGAAATGTTTCTCCAGATGGTCAAACCAAAGCATGTTTAGTCGAGGTAATTAAGAGTTACGTTTATGACAACTTTTTTTATATTGGTTTGTAGTTATTTTCCTATTACATGGATACATAGAATATTGATTTTTCGATCAGGTACGTAACAAGCCAAATTATTTATAATTTTAAATTTAGGTTTTTACTGACAGCAGAATGTGAGGAACAAGATCTGAAATGGAAAAGCGGAGTCGTGAACAAAATAAGTTGCATTTTATAACTTTTTGGTTAATCATGTTAAATTTCGGAATCACATATAGAAATTGCATAAATTTCTGTATTTTTGTCAATTAATCTTGCATAATTAAGGAATAACATATATCGTATTAATTGTATAATTGTTAAAAATCTAAGTTAATGATTTCGTCATTGTGCAAATCATAATTGAAGTTATTCTTATTATTATTTGAAAACGGGCCTTCTATTGAAGTTATTGTTACTAGCTAGTATAATTAATGTGATTATGTCATTTTAAAACTACCGTTTATATATTTAAATTATCTTACATAAACATTTGCATGTATGATTCTTATATCAGATTGTAAGAATGCTCGTCACGATGATTCAAGTTCTTGTGGTGAATTGGAAAAATGTGAGGAGTCTGATGATTACAGGGTGAGCTCTTCGTCTTCTTCGTCGTCCTCTTCTTCAAAAGATCGTAGATTGTTAAAGTCGTCACCACGTCAATGGTTTAGCGGTTGTCCATCTCAGAATTTAAGGAACAGTCGTACCGGTTTTCGTTAGAGTTTGTCTCTTGAATGATCGTCACGTACCAAATTAAAAGTTAGTTATCGAAATTAGATTACGTCGAAAATGATCAGAAAAAAAAACATTAATTGATCAGACTATTGTAAACACATTTGTAGTTTTCAACATATTGGTTTTTCTCTTTCAAAATTAATATTATGGAAGGTTAACATTTTTTATTAGGTTTATTTGATGGATAAACTGATGAATTAATTTTCACGTATTCAAGTTACTATTCATTTAAGTTCCTTTACGTATTTCCTAGCTAAGATCACAATATGCTTTTGGTCACACCAAAGCATTAATATATCTCTTATTTATTTTTCCTACCAAATAATCGTTTGGGTTGTAATTTTTTTTGACAAAACTTATGTCATAATTTCTTAGGGGTTGAATAATAGTATGTAGTTTTTTCATGTTTTCACGTTTTGAAAAACTTAATTCTATAAAATATATATCATTCATAATATTAAGCATTAAGTAATAAAAAAAAGAAAATTAGCATGTTATTTTTTAATCTATCTTGCTAAATTTATAACTAATTTAGAAAAAATCTATTTATCAAATAAAACTAATTTTTAGCATTTTGAATTTATTATTCAGTTTTCAGTTTATCTATCCTATTAATGCTGCTAAATTATTATTCAGCTATTCTACATATATCAGTCAAACCTTCAGTTTTTTGTTTTTTTAAGTGGCTTAAAGCTAATTATAATCTACATCGTGAGCTCTGCTTCCATGCGTTTTTCAGAGTTTAGAGAAATAGATCGAAACTAATTAAAACCAAATTTGATCTTCCACCTATTGTTGAGAAAAACTCCACCATCATCTTAAGTTTCTTCATTTTTTTTACTTGAACACGACGGCTTATTTCCCATTTTCTAACATCATAAAATACAATTTGTTTGTAACTCATTCAGTCTTCTTCGCAAAATGCATTTTCCTTAGACCTAGCTAATACAGTGTTGAGGCAATCTATCGGTATAGTCACAATGGGATGGGCCAGTTCTTTGATACGTAAGCCCATATAGATAAAGAGGTGTAGAGATTCTAGAGAATAGAGACCATATATTCGGTTTAGTATTGGTTTAACATTGGTTAAATGCTAAGGAAACCTTTTGAAAAGTTTACTAATTAGATTTTATTTAAAAATGTAATTATTTTATTTAAAAATGTAATTATTTTATTCAACTCAAAAATATATCTCTCGCTAAGAGAAAGTGGTTTAGTAATTTAGTGTGGTTGGACTCTGATTGTATCAGCTCATGCGTACTGTGGTATGGTGAACCAAACATACAGGAGATTGTAGCCGTTCGATATTCTTCAGCCAACAAAAGTCTTGTCATTTTTAAAATGAACAAAAGAAGACAAACGCCTATTACATTGTCCAATAAACAGCAAAAGCGAATTGTATTTATAAAAATCTTTCGAGTCAAAAAAGACAAAACTGAACGTGTTGTGTGTATAATATTATTATTCATTATATTAAAAGAAAAGGAAAGTATCATGCGAAAATTCATAATTTGCAATTATAACAAAATAGTGCGAACGTGGGGAATGATTTGATGTAGCTTTTTAAAATCCGACGCATTTTATCCTGTTATTGTGTTTTTATTTTATATCTGAAAGTAATTTAGTAGTTTTTCATTCTTCTATTACAGTTAGTGTTTTTAGACGACCTTTTCTACGGTATTTTAATTATATGATACGAAACACCGCGTTGATTCTGGCTAGCGGATCCGATAGTACAATGCGTTTTTAATAGCTCGGTTTAGCTACATATATATCTTTCAGAAAAATATGTGTGCGTTTGTTTTTCAACTGTGGTAAATAATAGATACATGTATGGGGTATTTGCACACAAAAAAAAAAAAAATACATGTATGGGGTAATAAAATAACTAAATGTTTAAGGTGAAACTCCTAAAGCAAAACGAAGTAGAGAAGAACAAAACTCAGGGGATATCGAAGTAGTTGATGGAGACACCGAGAGACCATCTGAAACGAACTATAGGGCTTCGAATCAGCAAAGGGAATACACGAGAGATGCAGAGGAAAGACCCAAAACAGAGGGCCGTAACCCTGACTTTCATCCAAATAAACTCTCAAAAGTTGGATCGGGAGGCAGCGAAGAATCGTTTTGTGCGGCCGAAGAAAGACGAAGCTACAAATCCCTTTGGAGAAATTCTAACCGTTACGATAGTCATGCAGACCGGCGTTGGGCGGGGGAGAGTACGAGGGATAATGACTTACGATCAAACTTGAGGGAGAGAAGACAAGCACGAAGCAAAGAAGTCTGGAAGAGAATTGAGACCCCAACAGGAGAAACAATTCCGCGAGCTCGCGAGAGATTCCCTTCATACCCAAACTCTGGATACGGGGCACATCAAAGGAGAACCGGAAAGGCTCCCGTGAAGGCGATCTGGAAACCAAAGCAAGTAGAAAACAGAGAAGAAGAAATGTCTCGTCTGTCATCACGCAAAAATACTCTCCCGAGGACAAATCCTGGTTCGAATGCATCTTGTGCCATCTCGGACTCCCAAAGAACAATCTCAGATCAGATTCAGGCGTTAAATATTGCAGGAACGGAGAAAATGGGAGGAAGTGGAGCGCAGATGATTGAAACAGAGGAACAGAGGACGAGACGTATCAGGGGAAAAGCGAAAGGAACAGGCAACGAAACTACAAAAAGCTTTCCGGTGCATTATGGTTACCTTAAAAAACCGGGAACTCTGATGATTAGAGAGGCCGGGACACAAGAAACACCAACTTCAATAAGAAAGGCGCACCCTGTGAATGAAGAGCAAATGGATGTCGATGAAGGAAGAGAGTCTGAAGAGCTAGGAGATGATCTCACGCCCCCACCTCTACCGATGACGGATAAGGAACTTGAAGATTTTGACAAGATGGTGACGGAGGAGAATCATACCGCTATGGATGAAGAGGAGATAGCAAATGATGACCTTTTGGGGGAAGACTTGGAACAAGAGGAAGAGATGATTGATGCCATATCACAACTAACACCGTCCCCAAAACAGAACAAAGGGGAAAAGGCGAAAGCAAAGGAAAAGGTGACCACTGATCGTTCAGGTGCAAAGACTAGGAAGAGCCTGGTTAAACGTACTTCTAATGGATCTGGGCTGAAGAGACGTATGCCACGCAGTCCGAAAGTAAGAGGCGGGGGAGCTCTGAAAATGATCAATAGCGTCAGAGGACGAGCCTCTCCCAAAGCAAGACAGGGATCGGGTAATATTACGATCTCTTCTCGTAAACAATCTATCCCTAGCAATGAGGTGTTTCCTTCTGCTCTAAGTAAGAAAAATTCTGCTGTTTCAGGTTCCGTGGTATCCCAAAAACCATCCAGTAAGAAGATATGAACACAATTTCATGGAATTGTCAAAGTGCAGGCGCTTATCTGACCAATCAACATCTTCGAGAGCTGCACCGTTGTTTTTCCCCTTTTCTTCTTTTTCTGTCTGAAACAAAAAATTCTTTTTCTTTTATGCAAGATATTCAATTTTCTTTTGGTTATGATAATTTATTTACCGTAGAGCCGAAAGGTACAAGCGGTGGACTAGCTCTTTTTTATATGAACTCCTTTGATGTTAAAATTTTGTTCTCCAGTAATCGTTTAATCGACGTGGAAGCTGTTATTGAAGGACATTCAGTCTTTATGATTTTCGTTTATGGTGATCCGGTCATTGAGTGCCGAGAACTCATCTGGGAACGTATTACACGGATTAGTACTACAAGAACGGGTCCATGGTTTATGAGTGGAGATTTTAACGAAATCACAGACAACCACGAAAAAAGAGGTGGCTGGAAATGCCCATACGCCTCATTCATACCCTTTACTACGATGCTTGCAGACACCGGAATAGTAGAATTCCAGACAAAAGGGAACTCCTTTTCCTGGGTTGGGAATAGAAGGAGTGGCAGAGTTCGATGCAAATTGGATAGAGTACTGGGTAATGAAGATTGGCATCATATTTTTTCCCACACTTCTGTGGAGTATCTGAAACTGTGGGGATCTGACCATCGACCAGTTCTGGCTCGTATTCAATCACGGAAAGGCCGCGTTAAGAGGAATTTTAAATTTGATAAGAGATGGCTTGGGCAAGAAAGCTTACTAGAGACAATCATTGATAGCTGGAGGACTTCGGACGCCTCTAGGACCCCAGACCTCCATGCTACCATTGGAAACTGTCGCAAAGCGCTCTCATCCTAGAGACGCTTTAACCCGACAAACGCGATTAAAAAGATTGAGGAGATAAAAGAAAAGCTGGAAGCTGCACAACAAGATGACTCAGTTTCAAATGATGAACTGTTGACGCTAAAATAGAACCTCTATACTGCTTTCCGAGAAGAGGAACTCTACTGGAAACAGAAAAGTCGGGCGACATGGCTAAAGGAGGGAGATAGGAACACGAAATTTTTTCATGCCACGACTAAACAAAGAAGAGCTCGGAACAGAATCATTAAACTGAAAAATGCCTCAGGAGGTTGGGTCGAGACGGAACAAGGAATGGAAAGAGTTGTTGCTGACTATTTCCAAGACCTGTTTACAACATGTCACCCCCAAGACTTTGAGGAGGCACTCCGGTACACTACCGCGCAAGTAACTCCAGCGATCAATGCTGTACTTACGAGCTACCCATCGGATGAAGAAATTAAGAAAGCAATCTTTGAGATTAATCCAGAGAAAGCTCCAGGACCAGATGGGATGACTAGTCTGTTCTACCAGAAATTTTGGGAAGTAACCTCTTAGGATATCATCCGAGTAGTCAGAGATTTCTTTGCTTCAGATAGGTTTGACTCGAGACTGAACCAGACTGACATCTGCCTAATCCCAAAGACAGCGAGACCTGCAGAAATGGCAGAGTTCAGACCTATAAGTCTTTGTAACGTTAGTTACAAGATCATTTCGAAGATCTTAAGCAAAAGATTAAAAAGATTCCTCCCGAAATTGATCTCGGAGACCCAATCAGCTTTTGTAGCTAGACGTCTGATCACAGACAATATCCTAGTGGCACAAGAAGTATTTCATGCCCTG